TGGAACGGGGAAAGCGGCAGGGAATTTTTCTTGTTCGAAGCCTTTCTTTTTTCTCTCTCCTCCGCTCGTGACCGCAGGAGCCACAGCTACACTGCTACAGCACCGGCAGCGCGGCAGCGCGTCGCCGAGCCCAGCCGAGCCCCCGGCACCGTGTGTCAACCCCGGCGAGTGTAAACACACCAGAAATACCCCACGCCCCGCCACGCCCCGCCCCATCCCCCTGTCACCGCCCGCCTCAGTAGCCACTGCTTGCTCGTGGACGTCGTGGACGTCGTGGTCCCGGTGGTCGCGGTGGTCGTGCAGACTGATTCCGAGAGTCGTTTTCGTCGCTGCGTCTCTCTCGCACCTACGCGGGTCGCCCTGTGAGTGTGAGAGAGACAGAGCGACGAAAACGGCTCTCGGAATCAGTCTGCTCGAGGCACGGGGACGGCACTGCATTGTAGTCGCCATCAACCACCGCGCCGTTCATTAAGATTTTAAGAAAATTTAAACAAGTGCTTCGGCCATTAATTGACTGGATCGATGAGGGTGCCTGCTTCCAAAACACTCCGGTTATTAAATTCATCATCCGCTCGGTTTAATCGGTTTCCAAAGCAAAGTCCCTTTACATTTCCGGGATTCTTCTTTGTTGTGACCTGGCTTCGGCTCGAGACGAGACTGGGACGCCACCACGTCGCCGCCCGTGCGGTCCAAATGAGTGTTGGGAGAGTGGCTCCTCCAGGGAAGGCGCTCTGGCCGCCCGTGGCGCTCGCAGGGCACGCCAGGCCAGGGGAAACGGGCGGTCATTTAGGACCCCAAGGTTTCACCCGGCCAAAACAAAACAAAACAAAAAGATAGTGGCGAAGATAGTGGCAGGACAAACGGGTGAAACGAAAAGAAAGGCGTGGTTTGTTTTGTGGACATCGCGAGCGAAGTGTTGCGCAGTGTCGTTACGAAGGCGTTGCTCCGCACCGCGGCGAATAAGGGCCCGCTCCTGCTTCCCCGAGTGAGGCTAACTGTGGCCGTCCCAACTCCCCAGGTCAAGGTCGCGAGGGGTCGCACAGTGGGCCAGAAGACCGGTGGAGGCGGACACAATTCTGGACGCGTTTTGAGGTCCAGAGTCGCTAAACAGGACTCGAACCGAACGTGTGACCCCACCAATGGATTTGCTCTCCGAACGAGGAATCCTTTGGTGGGGTCACACGTTCGGTTCGAGTCCTGTTTAGCGACTCCGAAGCTCAAAACGCGTCCAGAATTGTGTCCGCCTCCGCCGGTATTCTGACCCACTGCGGTTCGCTGCCTCTCGACCATCAAGACTTCGGGGTTGTTGTTGCCGCCGATGAGTACGCAGCAGCAGCTTGATATCAGAATCCAATTTCCGACTTTTGGTAATCCATGCATGAGGCTCGCTGTAACCCCGTTCAGGGATGCGGCCGGAATTCCGTTACTGAGGTCCGTCTTGAACTGCCAAGCGGGGCGGGGCGGGGCGGCGGTATAGCCTCTCTGGCCTCGTTATTGGAAATGTTTCCAACTCGCTGGAAATGTTGTTATTATTCCGATGTGTTGTTGTGGCAGCGCCCCCGGCGTGGCGAGGTGGAGCGTGGCAGGGCGGTGCAGGGCGTGCTGGTCGGCTGATTTAACTTGTTGGCGTTTTGCGCGACTGTTCGCCATATGGGCGACCCTGACGCAACCGTCTAAAAGTAGCAGGCGGTGCCCTGGCGGTGCCTGCTAGCCTGCTTGGTGCATCTCGACGCAAGAATGGCGGTCGGCTGCTACACTGCCACAGGCTGGCCACAAGGCTTCCCCTGACCTGCATGATGGCGTGCGTGTTGTATCCCAGGAGCGCGGGCGCAGAACGGACAAAAAGGAGGAGGAGGGGGTTGTTGTGTATGAGAGAGACTGAATGAAAAAAAAAAAAAAAAGGAGAGACGGAGGGAGACGAGGAAGATAAATGATGTTGTGTCTTCAGGAATATGCCCGTGGCAGGGCCTGTTGCCCCAACGTTCAAGGCTTCTGCCCCCAAACCAGGTAAAACAGACTAACAGCAAGGACCGCCAAGGTCGACGCAGCGCGCTGCTGTGCGGGTCACTTGTTTCGAATTTCCCGCTCTGCGTGTGTTTTGTTGTTGTTGTTGTTGTTGTTGTTATTGTTGCTGCTTTCCCCCAACGGGACGAGCGCCTTTCCCTGCGCCCCTCGCACAGTGGGCCAGCAACCGGCGCAGGCGGCCAAAATTCGAGACGCGTTTTGAGCTCCAGAGTCGCTAAATGAGACTCGAATCGAACGTGTGACCCCACCAATGGATTGCTCTCCGAACGAGGAATCCATTGGTGGGGTCACACGCTCGGTTTGAGCCCCATTTAGCGACTCTGGAGCTCAAAACGCGTCTCGAATTTTGGGCGCCTGCGCCGGTTTCTGGCCCACTGTGCCTCGGCGCGGGCCGCTGCGTCGGACCGACACAATCCCTTTGTCAAAAATAAACTGGAAATCCTTTGGAAAATCCTTTGGAAAATCCTTCAGAAAATCCCTTGTAAAATCCCGCCAAGCGCGTTCCGAAGGTCCGTCGGGACTTTCCGAAGGCTTCGCCTGTCAAAGAGATTTTCCTCTGTGCTCTATATCTGCTGCGGAAACTCATCACAGAGGCATTGATGGCGTTGACGAATTTTCCGAAGGCCGGAGGCAACATTCTCCCGCAACGAGATCGAGTTTTCCGGGTGTTCCCAAGATTTTCCTTTTAACGGTGCCCCATTTCGGAGCTCGTTCCCATGCAGCCGAATATTTTGTGATTTCACGGAGGATCGAGTTCCAGGCACGGCCAGAGGGGACTCTGCATGTTGTGTGCGCGTGTGTGTGTCTGACAGAGGGAGAGAGAGGCGTTGTGTGTGTGTATGTGTGTGTGTGTGTGTGTGTGTGTGTGCGTGTGTGTGTGAGTTGTGTGTCGAGCGTAGCGACGTCCCTATGGAAGCGCGGAAGAAAAATGCGCGTAGTGACACGTGCTGTTGGGTATCGATCTAAAGAAACAACAACAAAATGTCATTATTTTTTAGATTTTTTTTTGTATTTTCGTCGCATGTGAGCCTTAGGCGGAAAGCCTATACTCTGCAAAGTAAAACACTTCCTATTGGGCAGTGTCCGTGCGGTGGACCTGCTTGACATGCGGCGTGGCCCCCAGGGCAGAAAGGCAAAAAAAAAAAAAAAAAAAAAATGCTGGCTCTACCGAACCAATCATTGTCACGCTGCCACACATGGAGTCAAAAAGTCGAAAAAGGCCGTCACGTCAGAAATAAGGAGGCTTTCTGTCGATTTGGTTATTTTGCGGTGTAGCGACACGCCACGTGCGGCCCGGCAAATAACCGGCTAATTTTAGGGAAAGGGCGAGAGTCTGTGGGCAAGCAGCGCGAAGGGGATAGAGGATGGGAAACGCAGAAAGAGGGAGAGAGAAACAGATAGCGGAATAGAAGAAGAGACTCACAAATACACGCACCTCTCCGCGCGTAATACACAGCCAGCAATCCTTTTTTTTTCTTCATAATATTAATGATAGATTTTTATTTTTAATGGGCCATGTTTGTAGGCCTTGGTAGTGTGCGCGCGCCATGGCGCCATCACGCTGTCGGGACTGGCCGGCAAATAATATTTCAGTGGTCTTCTTTATAAGCCGCCTGGGGGAGGGGGGAGTTTAATCAAGCGGACTGTGTTCCCTGGCGTTAATTGCTGGTGTTGCATTGCTGAGCTTGTGCGTCAATTTGTGTTTTTCGGTTCCGAGCTACAGTGCAGTGGTTTCCCCATAGTGATCCTTCACTTAAACACGGAATTTAACGCAAAAGCGACACGCTACACCTTGGAATTCGTTCGCCAAGCGCCAGCAGCATGCAACATGCAAAACTTACAACTTTATTTTTTTAAACTTGTCTTTTGTTACGTCATCGACCATCCTCGTGTTAGGTTAAGTGTGTGACCCCTTTGGATTTCCCTGCTGATTTTCGTTTTGTTCTGTTGCTTACTAATGCTGGAGGAGTCTGAATAATGTACCTGGTTCCCGTGCTTCTGCGCATGATACAACACATCGTGTGGATCACCGCGGGCTGTTGTCTGTTGCTGTTGTTTCTGTGTTTGTGGGGAAGGGGAGCAAAGCGAGCAGGGCGAACGGGGCCCTCGGCAGCCCTGCACAGTGGGCCAGCAACCGGCGCAGGCGGCCAAAATTCGAGACGCGTTTTGAGCTCCAGAGTCGCTAAATGGGACTCGAATCGAACGTGTGACCCCACCAATGGATTGCTCTCCGAACGAGGAATCCATTGGTGGGGTCACACGCTCGGTTTGAGCCCCATTTAGCGACTCTGGAGCTCAAAACGCGTCCAGAGTTTTGGCCGCTTCCACCGGCCTTCTGGCCCACTGTGCTGGGCCCCGCAGTGCGGTGGGGTGTTTGACGTCGCCTCCGCGAGGCTGCCGTCGCGCTCCCCTGGGAAGCATGAACCAGCAGACTGATTCCGAGAGTCGTTTCCGTCGCTCTGCCTCCCTCGCACTCAGGGCGCGTCTCGTAAGGGTGCGGGAGAGACAGAGCGACGAAAGCGACTCTCGGAACCAGTCTGCAGGCGTCCGCCTACACGGCAAGCCTGTGTTCTCCGTGAGGGCTGTCGGTGTCCAAAGAATTCGCCCGCACAGTGGGCCAGAAAACCGGTGGGGCGGCCAAAACTCTAGACGCGTTTTAAGCTCCAGAGTCGCTAGATGGGACTCGAACCGAACGTGTGACCCCACCAATGGATCGCTCTCCGAACGAGGAATCCATTGGTGGGGTCACACGTGCGGTCCAAGTCCTGTTTAGTGACTCTGGAGCTCAAAACGCGTCTAGAGTTTTGGCCGCCTCACTGGCCATCTGGCCCACTGTGGCCTGTGGAAGAGTGAGAGGACAAATTGTGTGGCGGTGTTGCAGGAGTGTGGTCGCCGGGCGGGCCCGAGGACCATGACGGTGACCTCCAGGACCTCCAGGACGTCCAGGACCGGTCCTCGCCGACGCCGTCCGCGCCCAGCCCCGTGGCCGCCGTGTGGACGCCGCGGTCGGCCGGCGCCTCGCCCCTCGTGGAGCGGAAGGCCTTCAGGCCCGTCAACTTCACGTCGCCCCAGCTCGCTAGAAAGGCGAGGCCCCCTGTGAGTGCCGCGTCACGCCCGGGCCCGGGTTCGATCCCCGGCAAAGCCCCCGCCTCACCCTCCACGTCGCGTAGTCAAATTCACTCCGTTCTCGGCACGACTCCTCCAATGCGAATCCGTTTAAAATCACATCATGCAACCCATCAGCAAGGTGCAGCTGAATTTCTTGAAATTCCTGCAATGCCTGCGTCATTTTCTCCAGAAAATGGTAAAACTCCTCGGTAAAGCGTGTCTCGGAGTGCCGCGTGCCGCGGGGGTTCGAAACAATACAACGCGGGGAACGGCAAGAAAATATCCTCCCCCCCCCCTTTTCCCTAAAGGCCCCAGGATGTACCGAGCGTCGTCCTGCCCGACAAATCCCTTGTTTGCTTTCCTGTGTGGGTCGATACGGGAAATGAATCCGAACGCGGATGACAGTGCCGGCGCTGCAGAGCGCTGCCGAGACGCGAACCCGCGACGGGTTGGAGGCGCCCAGGTCGCAGGCGGCCTCGCTGGGGCCGGCGCTCTGGATATCCAAATCAAATCTGGCGTGCCACTCACGTGTCGCAGACTCCCTGCACGCGCAGCGCCTTTCCCTTATCCGGGCGGAACGGCACTTTATCCAGTTTTTTTCCCTGTCCACAGTAGTGGGCCAGAAGACCGGCGCTGGCGGCTAAAAGTCTAGACGCGTTTTGAGCTCCTGAGTCGCCAAGCAGGACTCGAACCGAACGTGTGACCCCACCAACGGATTCCCCGTTCGGAGAGCAATCCATTGGTGGGGTCACACGTTGGGATCGAGTCCCATTCAGTGAATCTGCACTCCCAATTTTCTACTGAGAAATGCCGTGCTGTCATAATACTAAGCTAATTCTCAGTACTCTACGACACAAATCTATCATAATACAAAGAAATTTGTTTGTAATACTAAGAAACTGGTCATAAGTTACTGAGAACCCCTCACCATACGTTACTACCTTCGCTGTGCTGTCATAATACTAAGCTTTTTGTTCGTATTACGAAGAAAAAGCTCAGTAGGATCTTGGGAGTGTGGAGCTCAAAACGCGTCTAGACTTTTGGCCGCCTCCACCGGTCTGCTGGCCCACTGTGTTCTGACCGACGACGCGGTGCTGCAGGTCGACGCGGACGACGGTGGCCCCAACGGCGTGGCCGCGATCGGCCGGGACGGCTCGGCGCCCCACCTGCCCAGGGCGCCCAACCCCACCGTGACGCTGCTGCAGAAGGCGCGAGGTACAAAAAGACGTCGTCACGTTCTCCGTTTTAATTATGTCTTGGTGGGCGTGCTTGCTGGAACCCTTGTTCTTTTTCATTTCGCTCCAGAGGGGCAGATACCTCGGGGGGCGCAGTACCTCGACGCCGAGGCGGAGCAGCGGCAGAGCGCCCATGGACGTGAGTATGCAGCGGACGGACGGACAGACAGACAGACAGACAGACAGACAGGCAGACAGACAGGCACAGACAGACAGACAGACAGACAGACAGACAGACAGACAGACAGACAGACAGACAGACGGACAGACGGACAGACGCGCACATGGGCTGGACATAATCCCGCCACTGTCATTTGCTCAAAGGGATGGGGTATGCCGACGAAGCCGCCACGCCACAGCGCTTTCGTCGCTCCGTCTCTCTCGCACTCGTTGGGCGTCGCACAGGGCCGCGAGAGAGACGGAGCATCCTGCAGATTGTGCCTCGCGAAGCTACAACAACGTCGTCTTGTCGGTGGCGTCTCCTCGCCCCGCGGTTTTGATCCTCCTCTTTCTGTTTCCGGTGCCCAGTGGACCGGACGGACTACGCCGCGCACCGGGCCGAGCACCGGGCCGAGCACCGGGCCGCACCGGAACCGGAGCAGGACGGCATCCGCCTGCTGAGCGTCAGCCCGAGCGGGCCGAGCGGGCCGAGCGGCAGGAAGGTGCAGGGGGTGGGCCCCACCACCAGGGAGGGGCTGCCCACCGCACTGCGATCGGTGAGTCGCGCATTTTCAATCTACCAAAGACCAGACAGGCTAACCTGAAAATGAGTCAGTGTTTGTTGGGCATGTGAGTGCGTGTTCCGAAAAGATGAAACCATTTGTTTTCGCGTGGCCGAGCTGGCCTGAATCCCAAAAAGATAAAACTACTGTTTTTGGCATGCAACTTGCGGCATTAACCTATCGCAGTCTCACTTCTTAAAATGAATGAAAAAAATTGTGAGTCGCCACTTTGTTTGCTTATACGCATAGTTTCCAACGGACAAACCATAACGAGATGAAATAATTAAACGAGTGCCTTGAATGTGTGTCTTCTCTTTGTCTCTGCTTCAATCTGCGACGCAACGCACAGTGGGCCAGACGACCTGTGGAGGCGGCCAAAATCCCAGACGCGTTCTGAGCTCAAGAGGCGCTAAATGGGACTCGAACCGAACGTGTGACCCCACCAATGGATTGCTCTCCGAACGAGGAATCCATTGGTGGTGTCACACGTTTGGTTCGAGTCCTGTTTAGCGACTCTAGAGCTCAAAACGCGTCTAGAGTTTCGGCCGCCTCCACCGGTCTTCTGGCCCACTGTTCGACGCCACCGTCAACCCGGAGGCCTCCCCGGAGGCCAGGCGGATGTGCGGCTTGTGCAGTAATGACTTTCCGAATGCGTCCCCGGGGCCCGGTGGGGCCGCGCTGGCCGGGTCCGCCGGGTCCGCTCCAGTCGGCCTCGTTAACAAGTGTTTTATATAAGGCGACCCTGTTTTCCTCTCGGCTGCCGCTTGCCGCCGAAATGAGCTGTGTGCTGTTTTAGTTGCTGTTGTTGTTGTTGTTGTTATTCGTCTTGTTTCCCCGCACGCGGCACAAGGACGAGGACGAGGATGATGGGGATGACGACGAGGTGAGGGAGGCGGAAGTTTGATTGAATTAAGGCTGCCTTGGCCTAAACCGCGCTGATGGTGACGATGATGAGCAGAGGGAAGGAAAGGGAGGGGGGAGGCACGTGGACTTCTGAATCTATTATAATAATAATAATAATAATAATTATTATTATTATTATTATTATTATTACCCGTCGTGGGTGTCGTTGTGACGAGACGGCCCTTTTTAATTGGACTGCGAAGGAGGCTTAGCGTTGCTCTTTGCAGCGAAACGGCGGGAAACCGGAAAACGTGCATCGCGGAGCCTCGGGGCGGGGGTTCGAATACCGACGGCGCCAGCTGTTGGCTATCTTTTCCTGGTTTGCTTCTCCTCATTTTACTCTGCGGAAACTTATCGTTGTGTGTGTTTTGTTTCCCCCATCCGCAGGAGCTGCGCGACGAGAACAAGGACAGGTGGTACAAGAGAATGTACGACCAGCTCCACAAGATCAAGCAAGACGGTGAGTGTTGCAGGGGCGGATGGCTCCGTAGTTGGTAAGAAGGGTGCAAGGACGCAGCGCACAGTGGGCCAGAAGACCGGTGCAGGCGGCATAAACTCAAGACGCGTTTTGAGCGCCAGAGTCGCTTAATGGGACTCGAACCGAATCTTTGAACCCACCAATGGATTGCTCTCCGAACGAGGATTCCATTGGTGGGGTCACACGTTCGGTTCGAGTTCCATGTAGTGACTCGGGAGCTGAGAGTTTTGGCCGCCTCAACCGGTCTTCTGGCCCACTGTGCGGCGATCGTTTCACTTTCGAATCAACCGCCCGCGAACGGGTTCGGAGTCGTTCCCATTTCGAGCCAAACTCGGGTCCGGGAACGCTCGCTGGTCAATCCAATCCGCCCCCTTGGCGTGCTGGAGGGAAACAAAAAGCGCGTTCGCCACTTTTCAAAAAATTTGTTTACTCCACGTAACTTTCCCAGGTTAATTCATTCCCCCCCCCCCCCCCCCCCCCGCTCTATCCACGTTCGCTCCCGAGGGACGCCTCCGATTGGCTGGACTGGCGCGCTTTCAAGGCCGCTTCCGCCCGGCTCCCCGGGCGCCATTCGCTACACTGAGAATCCAAACGCTATGAGTATAGCGTCAATTGGTGCAATGCAAAATCATTGCACATGAAGTGCAATGCCTCCCCTTTCCCATGCAAAAGCATAGGGCATTTTCGGAAAGCATTGCACCTATGGTGCGATATGGCTCTGGCATTGCACGTGTGGTGCGATATCTCAGCGCATTGCACCATACGTGCTATACTCATAGCGTTTGGATTCTCAGTGTATTCACGTTCGGATTGGAGGCGAGTGATGCGCACAGTGGAGTTGCCGGAAGACCGGTGGAGGCGGTCAAAATCCCGGACGCGTTTTGAGCTCCGGAGTCGCTAAATGGGCTCTGACCGTACGTGTGACCCCACCAATGGATTCCTCGTTCTGAGAGCAATCCGTTGGTGGGGTCACACGTTTGGTTCGAGTCCCATTTAGCGACTCTGGAGCTCAAAACGCGTCTGGAGTTTTGGCCGCCACGCCACCACCGGTCTTCTGGCCCACTGTGCGTCGACCTGCCTGCGGCTGCCTGCTTCTCCAACTTGCCGAACAAAAACGAGCCGCAAAACGAGTGCGGAAGCGGAATTGCCGTCAGGCAAAAACGACGCGTCGGTGTCAAAAAAGTTGCTAACCTCAGCCCTCCTCCTTGAAAACCGGGCTTTTGCCTAATAGGCAGGCTGAGGTTGGCAGCCCTTGCGACGCCCAGGAGCTCGGTGGGAATTTTGGCCTGCTCCGAGGCAACACTGCGCACTGCCCTGTGGGTCAGCGGCTTCCTGAACTCCGTTTCCCCCCCCCTTTTCGGCGACACTCTGCCGAAACTCCTTGATTGGTCCGTAAAGTGGCTTTCAGGCGAATTGCAAATCCGCTCGCCGGCTCGTCTCGCCCAGCAAATATGCGGGGATGTGGTTATTGACATTGCCGAGCTGCTGAATAACCATCCCGCGGGTCACTCTCCGCCTCTCTCGCACTCGTGGGGCGTTCCGCGGGGGTGCGAGAGAGACAGAGCGACGACTCGACCTTCCGAACCGCTCGGCCGCGTTTGTGTCACGGAGTGTCGCACTCGTGTAGGGATGAAAATGCCCGGAAAGTTTCCGGAAACATTGGAAAAAAACAGTGTTTTTTTCCGTTTTTTTCCCTGGCCTCGGAAAAATTGGAAAGATTCAGCCTGAAAAGTAGGCAAAAAGTCGGGCATTTCGCCTGAAAGTAGGCTAAAAGCATACCTTTAACCCTACTGTGAACACGATTCTGAGTGCACTCAAACTACTTATACCCTGTTATGACTCCTTCTCGTGCGTTTTTTGAGCTTGCTGTTGTTAATCTCGGGTTGTCAGTATAGGTAAAGTTGTAAAAAAGCACAAAAGTGGTAGGTTTCATGTTCATAGTGCTTAAAAACTAATTTTTCCTATTTTTCCTTTTTTTCCAAATTTTCTGGGTTTTTTTCCAACTTTTCCGGTTTTTTTCCGACCCTTTGAAAGTTTCCGGAAAATTTGCATCTCTACACTCGTGTCGCGCGGCGGGGCGGCGGAGCCACCTGGTTCTGCTGGCCCTGTCCAACACACTGGCGTGCACTTCGAGCAGCAAGGAGGACAGGGAGCAACAGAGTGCCTCAGAGACTCGGCCACTGAATGCGCTCGGCCCTCCCGGCTTACGTCCGACCGCCTTGAGCTCTGCAGGCAGAGGACGGCCGGACTGCTAGGTAGTCTGAACGTCGATAGCTTCCACCCAGCAGACTGATTCCGAGGGTTCGTCGCTCTGTCTCTCTCGCACTCGTGGGGCGTTCCACGCAAGCGCGAGAGAGACAGAGCGACAGTCTGCAGTCATTAGGGACCGGCTGCAGGAAGCCACCCTCCCACAGTGGGCCAGAAGACCGGTGGAGGCGGCCAAAACTCTAGACGCGTTTTGAGCTCCAGAGTCGCTAAATGGGACTCGAACCGAGCGTGTGACCCCACCAATGGATTCCTCGTTCGGAGAGCAATCCATTGGTGGGGTCACACGCTCGGTTCGAGTCCAATTTAGCGACTCTGGAGCTCAAAACGCGGCCACATCCACCGGTCTTCTGGCCCACTGTGCCTTCCCCTTTCCGAGCCCTTTGCCCTTGGGGCAGCCGTTGGGTCAGGCAGCCGTTGGGTCAGCCCTTGGGGCAGCCTTGCGAGAACAAGCCCTCGACCATCGACCCCGAGACAAAAATGTTGACAGCAGTTTGTGATTTGCCTGATGTGTTTCCAGACGACTGTGTGACGGTGCGGTACAGACCGAGCCACAGAGGTGATTCATCAACTTGACTTGCTTTCAGTAGACAAATAAATTACTCACCACTAGTTGTTGTTTGACTGCTCTAGGCCGTAGCGTAGCTTTCTACTAATGCAGCCACAGCCATAGACTAGACGCACTAGTTACTGCCTCCTCTAATTCGCACTTAACACAAGTAGATATGCAATCCAACTCTGGCCACTCAGCTGGTCGCACTGCCGAGAACGGAGGGGTGCCTCTTCCCAGCTGGAGGACCTGCTGACTGATTCCGAGAGTCGTTTCCGTCGCTCTGTCTCTCTCGCACGCATGGGCCGTCCCCTATAGGTGTGAGAGAGACAGAGCGGCGAAATTGACTCTCGGAATCCGTCTGCTGGTGAACGGAACCAAGTGGACATAACTTTGGACACGATCTAACTCTGTAGATCTCTATGAGAGGACTCGATCCAGCCCATGATAGTACAAACCCAAGAAGTACTCGTTATAGACCAATCGTATCGTCTTTATGTGCTTGGTACCGGTCTTTAAAAAAAAATAGTCGTAAGTTATGTCCGCTTAAATTGGTTCATCGTTCCATAACGCACAGAATAACGCTGCCTCGTTTTCTTTTCACCACACGGCGAAAACAGTGTCCGGGTGTCTCAAGCTCATCCTACAAAGAGAGGTCCATTTTCCAGGGTGAGCTTGGGAACCTCAGTCACTTTTTTCCGTCGTGCACTTGCTGTTCATCATGCTGCTCATCTGTTAATTGCTTCCACGACGATGCCTTAGTGGACCGATTTTCGGTGCAGTGGCGGTCCGCTTCGGTCCGCTCCTCGCTGCCTTTGTGTCCCAGTGTGCCAGTCTCACAGCAGCCCCTTGGTGTTGGTGGTGTTCCAGACCAGCGCATCGCGACGTCGGGGCGCCGGCGGGAGGGAGTGTCCACCCAGTTCAAATGGCCCGGAGGTACGGGGTGTCTGCGCTGTGAGCGCGGCCGGCGCACAGTGGGCCAGAAGACCGGTGGAGGCGGCCAAAGGTCTACATGCGTTTTGAGCTCCAGAGTCGCTAAGTGGCACTCGAATCGAACGTGTGACCCCACCAACGGATTGCTCTCCGATCGAGGAGTCCATTGGTGGGGTCACACGTTTGGTTCGGGTCCCATTCGGCGACTCTGGAGCTCAAAACCCGTCTAGGAGTTTTGGCCGCCTCTACCGGTTTTGGCCGCCTCTACCGGTCCTCTGGCCCACTGTACGGCGTGCCGGCGTGCTGTGAGCGCAGCGCACATTGTTTGTGCCGAGTTTCAGTGATGTGCCTGAAAGCTTTGATGAGTTTCTTTCGAGTTGGCCGCCGCCGCCGCCGTCTTTCCGCTCTTCTTGCGCGGGACTTTAAGTCGCATGGGCGCGCCGAGGGGTGGTGTGCTGCTTCGGGGGGTTCTTTGTGTGCTCGGCGCGCGCTGCGTTGCTGCAGCAGGACGGTCGCCTCCGTCCAGGACCACAACAGCAGCAAAACCAAACTCACGCTTTTTCTATCTTCTATTTTTTTTTTCTCTTGTTTTCTCTAATCCGCGTGACTTGCCGAGTGTTTGATTCTTAATCCTCGCTGCGTCGCTAGTCTCTCGACGGGGTCCTGGCCGTCCTGGCTGCGGACCGTGGACCAGGCGGACGGGGCGCAAACAGGAGCCAGGGTGTTGTGAGCGCAGGGAGGCTGGGCGGCGCGGGGCGGGGTGCACCAGACGCGGGCATAGCCTCGCCCGCCGCTCTGCTAAGTCAATACAATTCTGTTCATTAATCTGCACCCGCCCGTCTGCGCGCGCTCACAGGCTCACCGACGCGCACACACACTAACAGTGCAGTTACGCCCGAATCAACAGCATCGCGCGTCTAAAACCTCCCATTTGTTTCAAAAACAAAATCGCGCGTGAGTGTTTTTGTTTCTTTTTCTAACAATTGGTTGTCCTGATGACGCGTTGGCTGGGAGCCTTATTGAAACGCACAGTGCGTATACGACCGCCAGGGCCTGATTCCAGAGGATCGTCCCGTCGCTCGGTCTCTCTCGCACTCGTGGGGATGGTGCACGTCGCGCAGGGGTGCGAGAGAGACGGGAGATAGCTGCCGACGGCGGGGCGCTGATTGGCAACTCGAGCTGCAGACTCGATTACATCGGAAGCACGGCCCGCGGCCCGGTCCGGTCGCCGGGGTGGCGTCCAGTGGGTCCACTGTAGCGTCCATCCGCGTTGCGAGTGTGGCTGCGCGGGGCAGCAGGGCTGCGCCTCGGGCGTGGCGGGGAAGGGGAGGGGGATGTTGGTTAGGTCATGACAGTCATGTGACGGGCGGGGCGGAGCGGGGCGGGGTGGGTGTGGCCGCGGGCCGAAAGCGGTCGGAAACGCGTCGCGTGGTTCGTCAAGAACCCCCTCCTCGACCCTCACACGACTCGCTTTTCGCATCACTGCGCTGTCTCTCTCGCACTCGCGGGGCGCGGCGCGGGGGGTGCGAGAGAGACAGTGCGAGCCAGCAGCCCGCGGGGGCCACGTTGACGTGCTCCGCGACGTGCTCGGCGTGCCGATGGCGCGGCGCGTGCTGTGGCGAGCGCACAGTGGAGCGAAACGCCAAAAAATGCGACATCGTGCGACATAGAATCATTTTCCGATCTGTCAGCTTTTTTCACGGCATATGGTCATTTCATGATGTTATTGGCTGAGCGATAGCGAAGCCCGTTACTCAGGTGGGGTTGAAAAGTTTTGTCTGTCTGTCTGTGTGTGTGTGTGTGTGTGTGTCTGTCTGTCAGCACTACTCCTCCTGAACGGCTCGGCCGATCTGGCTGAGATTTTGCACACTTTTTAGGTATGTCCTTGGCTCGGCACACGCGAAATTTCACTATCCTAGCTCAACTGGTTCAGTTTTTATAGCCGAAAAACACCTAAAAAACGGCGAAAAATCGAGTTTTCTGCAGGCAGATCACTTCTGCCTTGAAGGAGGGGGGTCTGGGGGGCGGAGCCCCCCAGCCCCGACAAGTTAAAATGTTACAAGGGATCTAGAATGAAGGGGGGTCTGGGGGGCGGAGCCCCTCAGAATGCACCAAGTTAGGAGTAACCGACGATGGACAAGCCATTGCCTGCCGAAGGCAGGCTAGCGCCGCACAGTGATGCAAAACGGTAAAAAGTCGCGCAAAAAGCACTTTTCGTTGATTTAGTCCATCCCTAAAGGGACTGACGTTTTTGAGCGCAGAAAAGATCGAACTACATGGTGGCGGAACTCTTTTCTGCCACAAAATGGGTAGGCCTATCTTTTTATGGCGCTGAAATAGAGCAATTTGATGCAAAAACCAAATAGAGCGACATGCGGTGCAAAAACTGTTCGTTGTGGCGGCATTTGCAGAACAAAGTGTAACATGTTGTATGTTTTTGGAAAGCTGAGGGTTCAAGAAATCCGCTACAATTGCTACAATTAACGGCAAAGCTCTCAGTCACTAAATATTCGCCGTAAAATAATAGCCAAATTTGCCATTTTTGTTGATTTTGAAGTGGAATAAGTCGAGTTGCGAACACTTGCGAACCGGTCAGTCACAGCCACATGGTAGTACCTGGGGCCAACTTTAAGGTCTGTATGGTGTCAGGTTGCGAAAAGTTGCGCTTTTCGAAAGAATCGACTCCGAAGTCGCGGCTTTGTCACAAATGACTGGTCAACTTCCATTTCCCGAACTTAACCATAATCGTTTCTCCTTAAGTTCCAGCTTTAGTTCCGACCCTGTGGTGGTTGTACACGTTCAATCTCTTCAGAAAAGAAGTCAGCGACCCTAAACACTTCTTTCCACAAAATTTGGCAGTGATAAAGCACAGCGTAACAGTGTTACCCCCTAAACTACTAAAGCTCCGCCCCTGCTGTGGTAGTCGCACATGTCCATCCTTTCAGAAATAATGTCGGCGACCCTTAAAACATCTTTGCACAAAATTTGGCAGTGATCAAGCGCAGCGTTACAGTGTTACCCCCTTCAACATTCCTAGATCCGCCCCTGTAGTGGTCGCATACGTTGAATTTCTTCAGGAATGAGGTCAGCGACCCTCAAAACCCCACAGCCTGAAAATTGGCAGTGATCATGGCACTCTATAATTTTGCGCGACTTTTTTCGGTTTTGCATCACTGTGCGCCGCAGGCCAAGGTAGGTACGCCAGGCGCGGATTGGAGGAACAGGCAGCGAGACATCGCGAAGCCTGTTACGACGAGACGCGGTCTGGCGTAAACCTACCTGGTCTAGTAAAAGAAATGATTTCCCAGTATTGGCTACGCTTGTAGAGCTAAAAATCGCGAAAAACATGAAAATTTTGTACCAAAATCTGCCATTTTTTACACGTTTTTTGCCCGTAAAACTGACATTTTTTCGATTCTGCAACTTTTCTCAACAGATTCTGAAAGCTAAGGACAAGGCCTACAACTTTTGTTATGGTCGCAACGCTGTAGCGAGGTCGGCCATTCGACTTTTTAGGCCTCAAAGGTTTTTCCTTTAGTAAATTTCATTGGAAATTTATTCCTATTTTGACAAATTTAGGTATTTTTGTGCCCTTGAGGTCTGTGTTGCCTCGTAACATCTATTTCTGGTTCTTATAAACTCGATTGGATGAATTGAAACTGGTTGGGATGTAAAGCGGACTGCAGGGGCACAAAAATACCTAAATTTGTCAAAATCGGAATAAATTTCAAATGAAATTTATTCAAGGAAAAACCTTTGAGGCCAAAAAGTCGAATGGCCGACCTCGCTACAGCGTTGCGACCATAACAAAAGTTGTAGGCCTTGTCCTTAGCTTTCAGAATCTGTTGAGAAAAGTTGCAGAATCGAAAAAATGTCAGTTTTACGGGCAAAAAACGTGTAAAAAATGGCAGATTTTGGTACAAAATTTTCATGTTTTTCGCGATTTTTAGCTCTACAAGCCTAGCCAATACTAGGAAATTATTTTTTTTACTAGATAACATCATGAAATGACCATATGCCGTGAAAAAAGCTGACAGATCGGAAAATGATTCTATGTCGCACGATGTCGCATTTCTTGGCGTTTCGCTCCACTGTGGAGCGGCGCGCTGATTGGCGGAGGCATCAAGACGCGCAGTGGGCCGGAAGACCGGTGGAAACGGCCAAAACCCTAGACGCGTTTTGAGCTCCAGAGTCGCTAAACAGGACTCGAACCAAACGTGTGACCCCACCAATGGATTCCTCGTTCGGAGAGCAATCCATTGGTGGGGTCACTCGCTCTTTTCTGATCCCATTCAGCGATTCTGGAGCTCAAAACGCGTCCACCGCCTCCACCGGTCTTCCGGCCCGCTGTGCGTCCCGCAGGCAGGTTGCTGTCCCCCTCGCACGCGTGGGGCGTTCCGCAGGGGGGCGAGAGAGAGAGAGAGAGAGAGAGAGAGAGAGAGAGAGAGAGAGAGAGAGAGAGAGAGAGAGAGAGAGAGAGAGAGTTTAGTTTAAAAATGGGTTTTATTGGGGGGATTGAAAAGTACAGTAGGGCCAGGGGGGTGTGAATTTTGTCACAATGAGAGAGAGAGAGAGAGAGGGGGGGGGAGTGCTTTCCGCGGATTTCCCCGCGACTTGTTGACCTGAAAGGCGGCGCAGAGTGGTCAGGTGCACGGAGCCACGGTGCCCCGCGACGGTACGGCGCGGTCTCGGCGGTCATGGCGTCAAGGCGGCGCGGCGCGGCGCGGCGGGCCTAGTGGCCTGGGCCGTCCCGCGCAACTTTGCTCCGGGGCCGCCGTTGGGCGCCGTGCCGCCCCGTCCCGACTGGACAACTTCGCCCGGGGGAAAGTTAGCCCGCCTGGCCATTCGTTAGGGCCGCGGCACCACGCGGCACGGCGCCGCACGGCCGCGCTGTTTCAAGGCAGTGGCGGCGCAAGGCGCTCTTGGCGGACGGCAAAATAAAATCTGAGAAGCGGCCGCCGGCGAAGCGGGAGCCAAGCGCAGCGGGCGAAAAAGGTACTGCTGGGCTGCGCGAGGGAGTAGGGGTGTTCAGTGAGTACCAGAAGTCGCAGCAAGTCACGGGGGCTGTTCAGTTAGTCTCAGTAAGTCATTGGCTGTGCTGTTCCGAGTGCTGTTCAGAGAGGATCAGATATTCATGGGGCTGTTCAGTTCCCAGTTTGTCGTGGGTCTGTTCAGTTAGTCTCAGTAAGCCATTGGCTGCTGTCCAGTTAGAGTCGCATCGGGTTAGAGAGTCATGGGGCCGTTCAGTTAATCCTTGTTACGTAGTCCAGCTGGTCATCGGGCTTCCGTTCCCAGTTTGTCCCACGTTGTCATGGGGCTGTCCAGTTACAGTTGCTTCCTCGACTTGTTCAGTCAGTCCCAGCCAGGAGTGCGTTGAGCGCGCGTGCCTCAGCCGATAAGCCGAACCCCCAATCTGCAAAATGCGGCAAAAAGTGGCTTCCGGGATTGTCATTATACGCAGCGATTCGGAGCGATACGCAGCGCTGGTCCAGTCCGTCCGCTTTTGTGCAGCCTTTGTGCAGCCTTTGTGTGGCGGGTTCCGGGTCGGGCGCCGTCCAGTTTCATTCCCTAAAAAGGGGGAAGGGGACCGGACTACGCCGCGGTGCCGTGCCTTCGGGTCGCCTTCGGGTCGCCTTCGGGTCGCCTTCGGGTGACATCATCGGCCCGGGCGTCGGGGGGACGAGGCCCTGGTCGTGATTCGGACCCCGCGCCCCTAATGGGATTGACAGCGTGGATGCTTTTGAAGCCGCCCGCCCCGCCCCGCCACGCCCCGCCACGCCCCGCCACGCCCCGCCCCGCCACGCCCCGCCCCGCCCCTCCACGCCCTGCCCCGCCACGCCCCGCCACGCCACGCCACGCCCCGCCCCGGACGGGGGAAGTCCACCAAAGTCACGTCGCCGTCGACGACTGGAGGATTAAATATTGACAGCAGCATCTCGTCTCGTCCTTTGCCTCAGAGTTCATGAATGGTGACGTTAGGCGACGGAAAGTGAGACAAAGGGTTCTCTCTCAAAAACTTGTTTCAATATTTTGAGGCCGGCGGGAGTATTTTCTTAGCCCGAAGAACTTGACGGAGGACGCCAAAGACGGCGTCTTGATTAATCTTCGACGGCTCGACAAAAATTGGATCAGGCATCTTTGTTCCCTTACCCTTTTTCGGCGGTACCAGTGGTTTTCGAAGTTAAACCCGCAGGAACTTTTCCCGGCTCTGTCGGCGTGCCAGCCTGCTATCCGCGATGCTGCATTCCCTCTCTCTCTTTCTCTACACACACAAACACACACACACACACACACACACACACCTACACACGCACACACCTACACACACACACACACACACACACACACCTACACACACACACACCTACACACACACCTACACACACACACCTACACACACACACACCTACACACACACACACACACACACACACACAATCATTCTCTCTCCCTCTCTCTTCCACACACACGCACACATCCTTTCCTCGCACACAGCTTTTCGGAAACGACGAGAACCAGATCGCGCGTCAACTCTGTGCGTGCGTGTGTGTGTGTGTGCACGCGCTTGCGTCTGTGTACATATATGTATGTGTGAGCGAGAGATTCGAGACTGTGTGTGTATGTGTGCATTGGTCGTTATTGGTCGAGTGCCTATGGCAGATCCCTGCTGGGCCTCATAGCGTATCAGCGCAGCGCGCGCGCGCACACACACACACACACACACACACACACTCACACTCACACACGGAGAATCAGTGAACCGCGCCGGCGGCCCCGCCCCGCACGGCGCTACATCGCACGCCTTGTGTGACGCGGCAAAGCTCCCTCCAGCAAGCTATGCATACATCCATAAATACATGGGAGAGCCTGGTCTGGCGGGGGCGGGGCAGGGCGGGGCGGGGCGGGGCGGGGCGGGGCGGGGCGGGGCGGGGCGGGGTGAGGTGGGGCGGAGTGGAGTGCGGCGTGTCGATTCGAAACGTTTGTCGGATTGGATTTGCGCCGGCGAAAATGCGCGCGAAAACGCTTGGTGGCGCGATTCCGGCGCGCGGCGCAGACAGGAGGGGCCCGAGGCGTCCCAGGGGAGGGGTAAAGGGGGGGGGGGCTTCCCTTGTCATTAACGGCACGCTAATCCCATCCACCGGCCCGCCGCCCTGCCGCCCTACAGCGCGTCGACGGGCAGCACCGCGAGCTTCTCCTGCGTCGACCGACCGTGTTCCACTCAGCTCCACGCCGCCATGCCGCCGCCTTGGGGTTTCCTTCCGAGTTTTGAGGCGTGTGTCGCTTTCGGCTGCGTCCACGCTGCCGATCTTTCCCGATGTTTGCATGCACACAGGCAGAGGGAGATTGGCACGCTGCCGTTGGCTGTTGCAGGGAGGACGTCGGGCTACCAGTCGGAGCCGGAACTGGGCCACTCGGACGCGTCCAAGTACTACACGCTGGACCGACGGCGCGGGCCGCCGCGGCAGCAGCAGCAGTACGAGACGACGCCGCGGCCGCCGCAGCAGCGCCAGCATGAGGCCACGCCGCCGCCCCCTCCGCCGCCGGCATCCGTGGACGCGGCCGTCCCAACCGTCACCACGCCCAGAAGCAGGTAAGCGCCGCGTCCGGCCCCGCGCCCCCCTGGCCGTCCTGGCCGCCCTGGCCAGCCTGCTGGCCGTCCAGGACACCCTGGCCCCCCTGGCCGCGTGCATGGACACCACTCAGTCCACGGCGCGCCGCACGGTGGGCAGCACGGTGGGCAGCACGGTGGGCAGCACGGTGGGCAGCACGCGTGTCGCCGTCGCGAAGCCCCTCGCGAGCACGCCGTCGTCGCCCCCCAGCAGCCCGGCGCGGAGCATGGCCGCCGTGGCGGTCAAGGAGTCCGTCGTCGTGGTGTCCGCGTCGCGCGTCGCGCGCGCCCCCCGCCGCCGCGGCTTCACGCTCTCCGTGTCGTGCTGTTGCTGCTGCTCGTGAGGTGCGCGTCCAGACCCTCGTGTTCATGTCGGAGCCCCGCAGCCCCGGCCGGACGGTTGTGTGTGAAGCCAGCAGACTGCGGTGCAGTTAGACGTCAGGGCGCGCCCTGGAGGCGGCGGCCTTGGCGACGGCGAGCACGGCGAGCACGACGAGCGGCCCTCGCGGCCACGCCCCACCCGTAAGTGCCTCGGGACGCCGCCCCGCCCCGCCCCGCAGTTACGTGGTTCCTGGACTAAGTATTTAAGAGTGGAGCGCGGCAGGAATCCGACTCGCCGGCTTTCGCGCTTAGCGGCTGGAATGCGAGGGTCCGCAGGGCCAACGCCGCCAACGCAGGACCGCGGCGTCTCCCTCGCACTCGGAGCCTTCGCCGCGCGGGCGCGAGAGAGACGGAGCGAGGCGCCCCGACGGCAGGCCCTCTGGGCAGCCCCGCCAGCGGCTCGGAATCGGCCTGCAACAGGGCGATGGCGATGCGAGGGGCGATGCGATTCGTCGCAATATAAAGGCGGAGGAATTCGGAACGCCGCGAGCCGCGAGGACGGCGCCGAGCCCAGCGCAGCCTTTTGTAGCGTCTGCGTTTTGTTGTTTTGTTTCTCGGCGCGTGCTCCCTCCGTCTCTGTCTCTCTCTCTGTCTGTCTCTGTCTCTCTCTCTCTCTGTATCTCTCTCTCTCTCTCTCTCTCTCTCTCTCTCTCTCTCTCCTCTCTCTCTCTCTCTCTCTCTCTCTCTCTCTCTCTCTCTCTCTCTCTCTCTCTCTCTCTCTCTCGACGGAGGTGAAAGGGAGGTAGGCGGTTCGCCCAAAGGGTTGGGACGCGCGGGGCGTAGTACTAAGTGAGCCCGCCAAGGACGGCCAGGACGGCGGCGAGGCGCAGGGTTTGCTGACCAAGACGCAGTCCTTCCCCGTCCCGCCGTCACTGCGAAATCCCGCCGTTTACCATGATGGCCCTGCCGCGCGGCCCGGGTTCGATTCCCCGCGCCGGCGGACAGCTGTCCTCGTTTTGATGGGAAGCATTTGGCTTACTGACTCGGAGAGGAGGTGTAAGGTCACTTTTCCGTCGCCTCCCTGGTCCAGCGGGGGAAGTGCCAGTGGTACTGCCATCGAGGGAAATCCCGACGATGTTTTAGCGGTGTGGGTGCGCGGTGTGGGCCGCGGGGCGGATGGACGAACGGTGGGGTAGTTCTCTCCCCGCGCGGATCCGAGCACCGCCACACCGCTCGCGAGGCACTGCCGTGGGGTCGGCCGGCCGGGCTCCGGGGTCGGTTCGGGCTGTGGGAACGCAGGTCGCGGCTGCAGAACAGGCGAACTTGGCGCTCGTCGCCTTGAAGCTCGAAAGTATTCTGGCTTTCGGGATTTTCGGCTCAGAGCTTTATGAACTCACAAGGCTCACTGAATATCCGATTAGACTCCCCCCTCCCCCTCCCTCTTTTCTCCTCAGCCAAGGTTTGCTCGAAATCACATGGCAGAGAGTGACTCGGACCGGTCCTTTCACTTCCGCCACACTGCGAGGATGGCAGGGCGCTATTGGCAGTGTACACCCCGCACACAATGTGGTCACACGCAGACCAGCAGCTAACTTCGCTAACTTTGCGGCAAAACCCCGTCTGTGTGCGGGGGCGCGACTTCGTGTGTGCGTGTGTGTGTCTGTGTGTGTGTGTGTGCGTGTGAGTGTCTGTGTGTGTGTGTGTGTGTGTGTGTGTGTGTGCGCGCGTGTGTGCGCGTGTGAGTGTCTGTGAGTGTGTGTGTGTGTGTGTCTGTGTGAGTGAGTGAGTGTGTGAGAAGCGCACGTCCGACCCCGTACATCATCAGGGCCTCTCTGCTCCTCGTGCCCCGCGACTCCGAGAGGGATGGCGCGACCCTTAGGGCGGGCAGCCTTCCCCAAAGCCTCCCCCATTGATTTCTCCATTGTGTGCGTCCGCGCGTCGCCCGCGTCGCCCGACGCAGCTCGGCCGGCCCATTGGCCACACTCCTGTTGGGGTGTTGTCTCCGTCCCACTCGAGGAGAAGGCGGCAGGATCTTGATGCCTCCTTTTAGGACTGTTTTTTGGCGAATGTCACTCGCTGTTGGGATCCGTCCAAACGCCCGCCGCACAGTGGGCCAGAAGACCGGCGTCGTCGGTGGCCGAAAACTACTCTATATACGCGTTTTGAGCTCCACAGTCGTTAAACAGGACTCGAACAGAACGTGTGACCCCACCAATGGATTCCTCGTTCGGAGAGCAATCCATTGGTGGGGTCACACGTTGGGTTCGAGTCCCATTTAGCGACTCTGGAGCTCAACTCGCGTCTACAGTTTTGGCCGCCGGTCTTCTGGCAAATCCACTGGGCGCTGCGAACCCGCTGCACTCCGCCCAAAGCGCAAACATTTTTTTCGTATTTTTACTGTGCGCTGGAAAAGAGACACAACTGCTCGCACAACTGTCGAACCTTTTGATATTTTCGCCCTTTTTTTAAGGGTCGCGTCCCTTTTGGGCCCGTCCTCCGCGAGCGCTCAATCAAAAGAACTCGGTAGCCGTGCCGGCGGGGCCGGGGCAGTGCCGGGGCAGTGCCGGGGCTTAGCCTACAGTCCGGGCGACACGCAGCACATCCAGAGTAATCCTTCGCTCGAACATTCATATCAATGAAGGAAGCCCACGCATATATACATTTCCGCTTTAATTTGATTGAGTGACGAGGTTCGTTTCTTTCTTCTTCCCCCTTATTTTCCCATGAAAAAATTGCGGCACGGCGAATAATTTGCTCGAAAAAGATAGTCTATTCGACTTTGTTTTAAAGTGAGAACGTATAGTAAACATTAAAGACATTTTTCGGAATGTGCAATATAAATACGTTTAAAAGTTAGAGTAAAATTATTACATGCGTTATGTTATAGTTGATTGATTAGTTCGCTTAAAAATGACGCATGTGCCACGCACCACAGAGCACAATGGTAGACCGGTCGGTGGAGGCGGCCATAATTCCAGACGCGTTTTGAGCTCCAGAGTCGCTAAACAGGACTCGAACCGAGCGTGTGACCCCACCAATGGAAACCTCGATCGGAGAGCAATCCATTGGTGGGGTCACACGTGCGGTTCGAGTCCCATTTAGCGACCTGGAGCTCAACACGCGTTTAGAGTTTCGGCCGCCTCCACCGGTCTTCTGGCAAATCCACTGTGCTCGGTGGCTCTGGCTCGCATTTGCCTCGATGCCGCCCCGCATTTGCCGGCCTCTAGCCTAGCCTCTAGCGCACATGGCCCTCCGAGCCGAGTGGAGCCGAGTGGAGCCGAGCGGAGCGGTGCCCGGGGACCGAGCCGAGCCGCGGCCGGTGCGGCGGGGCCGAGCCGAGCCGGCCTCTGCGGCGCCACGGTTCGCCGAGCAGCACTGCAAGGCTATGGAGGGCGTGCCCACCTTCCGGGCGGATTCACCCCCCCCCCCTTCCCCCTCCCCTCCCCCTCCCCGTCGACGCCTGCCGCCGCCTGCTGCCCTAGGATCCCACCGGGATGATGATATTGTAAATCTAATAATAGCGCCGGCCTCTGCGCCCGTGTATTTCACGTCTGCTTGCCTCGCCGGACTGCCGACGCCGCTCCCGCCGCTCCGTCTCTCTCGCTCTGGCGGGGCGTACCGCGGGGCGTACCGCGGGGCGTACCGCGGGGCGTACCGCGGGGCGTACCGCGGGGGTGCGACGGAGACGGAGCGCCGCCCGGTGCAAGCTGTGCATGCGGCAGGCGCGGACGGCCGACGAGGCCAGCGCCGCCAGGCCGCCAACAAAGATGCAGTAAAAACGGACTCGCCGAAAACAGGGCGGCAACTTTTCGGAATAAATTTGCCTGCGGAAACTAGAGCCGCTCCTCCCGCTCGGCCGCGTCGCCGCTCCGCCGCGCCCCAGCCAGTTGGTACTATTTCAGCGGGATTCCTCATTCCGTCTTCTTCTTGCCGGGACGCGAATCGATTCCGTCTGTTTGAAAAGACCGCCAAATAGCGCGCAAGAGAGAGAGAGAGAGAGAGAGAGACCGAGAGAGAGAGAGAGAGAGAGAGAGAGAGAGAGAGAGAGAGAGAGAGAGAGAGAGAGAGAGGGAGGGAGGGAGTAAGCGAGAGGAAGATGGGCCGCGTAATTTCGCAGCTCGCGGCAACATGATGATCCAGATTCCGCGCTGCACCAAAGCAGCGCCGCTCGGATTGATGTTTGTCTACCCGGAAGGGGGAGGAGGGGGTGGAGAATAAGCCGCGAAGGAGGCCCGCCACCACGGAGACACGGAGTGCCGCCGCACAGTGGGCCCGAAGACCGGTGGAGGCGGCCAAAACTCTAGACGCGTTTTGAGCTCCAGAGTCGTTGAATGGGACTCGAATTGAACGAGTGACCCCACCCGTGGGTTGGTCTCCGAACGAGGAATCCATTGGTAGGGTCACGCGTTCGGTTCCAGTCCAATTTAGCGACTCTGGAGCTCAAAACGTGACCTTGATTTTGAAACCGATAGGCAACCGTAAGGCAACCGGAAGGCAATCGAAATTAGGCAATCGAAAGGCAATCGAAATTTAGACAGTCGAAAGGCAACCGAAAGGCAACTAAAAGGCAAACGAAAGGCAATCAAAATTTAGACAATCGAAAGGCAATCGAAAGGCAACCGAAAGGCAACCGTAAGGCGATCGAAAGGTGATCGAAAGGCGATCGAAAGGCAACCGAAAGGCAATGCAAAAGGTGCGGGCATTGGCATTAGTGCGGTCGCGCGTCCGCCCACCTTCGCCGCGCGCCTCGTGATAAGATAAAAGGCGTATCTCTCGTCCTTCCCCCCCCCCCTCCTCCTTCCTCACCGCCACCGCCACGGGGACGGCCCTGGCGGCCCCGGCGGTGCGGCCATGGCCCTGCCGGCGACGCCCATGCGGCGCGGCGATCGAGCGCTTCGCCGAGCTTCTCCGAGCTTGGCGGCGTCGCGAAGCCCTTGGCGGCGCTATTCGCCAAGTCGCGCCAAGTAGTGTCAGGGCGAGCCGAGCAGCCGCACTGCCCCGCCACTGTAGAGTGCCACAGTGTAGTGCCAGCCTGACAGCGACCGCGCCGCGCGGCAAACGGTGAGTCTGCGCGGGTACCCGCGGGTCGCGCCCTGGGAAAAGAGAGACTTTAGGTATTCGGGCCACTTGGCTCAAAATGTTATAAGAGTGCAGACACCCTGGGAATGTGACAACTGTGACGGTCTCATTTCGTTCCGGTTAAAATCTAGAGCAAAACAAAGTACTTGCACGAGGAAGAAAAAGTTCGATTTCAAAAAATGACCGCGTTTCTCGCGTATTGTGTAACCCCCCCCCCCCTGCGTTCCCGAAATAGTGCAATCAATCCCCTCGGCACTTCCGGGACGCTCGTCATGACGGAGGACGGAGTTCCGACGGAGTTCCGCATGGCGAGGCCGTCGGCGCCATCGGGCTCTCTGGGCGGCCGGCACACTGCATCACATCACACTGCACTGGGAGTGGCTGCACCGTGTCTGAACGGTGTGACAATGCGCGACGTCCCCCCTGCCCGACGTGTGTGTGTGTGTGTGTGTGTGTGTGCGTGTGTGTGTGTGTGTGTGTCCTCCCCCTTCCCTTCCTGCCTTGCTGGTGCCTGAGAGAGTAATCAACACTGATGGAGTGGAAACGGTTGGAGTGGTGGTCAAAGAACATCGGATGTGATTACTCTATGGTCCAGGCTGGGATGTTGGTCCCCCGTCCCGGCCCTCCCCCTAGGTGCGCGGCCGGATGCCTGAGGCGGGGACCGGGGGGGGGGGGGGGGAGGAGGAGGAGGAGGAACTTCGCCGGTGTGATAATTAAATGGACACCGCGGAACGCGCGATCCCCGCCGGCTGTTAACCAACTGTCAACTCCGGTTACAGCCGGCCGGGCCTGCCCGCGCCGCCTCGTCGCTCTGTCTCTCTCGCGCCCCTACGGGACGCCCCATGAGTGCGAGGGAGAGGGAGTCAGGGCGACGACGGGACGGACTTTCCACCGCACGCGCGTGTGTGTGTGTGTCGGTGTGTGTGAACAGCACCGATTTCCGCGACCTTTGTAAGCCGGTTCAATCGCGTGTTGCAGAGCGGTGTCCGAGTCGCTCAAGTATGCTGCCGAGGTGTACAAGAACCAGCCGGGCCGCATCGAGAACTACGAGCCCGGCAAGTCGTCCATCGCCGAGAAAGAAGCCAAGCAGGTGGGTTTTTCCCTCAGATTTCCCAAAGCCCCAAGCTTTCCCGCGTTCCTCGCGCGCGGCTTGTTCCGCTTCCTTCCTTTTCACGGCGGTAAAATATAAATGGAAAGGCTGCCAAATGGAAGGGAAATATTGTTGTACTGCGCGCGTCTGCCGTGCGCTGCGGTTTGTGTTGGCAGCGCCAGCAGCGCCAAGGTGAGGAGGCCTTTCTCCATGTTTGCGTTATAGTCGGTGTTCTACCCGCGCCGTGGTCCTTGCCTCGGTTCTTGGAGTCGATTCTTCAAATTTTATCCAAGTTTGATCCAAATTTTATCAAATTTTGATCCAGATTTTATCAAATTTTGATCCAAATTTTATCAAAGTTTGATCCAAATTTTAACATAGTTTGACCTAAATTTCAACATAGCTTAATCCAAATTTGACCCAAAATAATTTGGCCCAAATTTCATCATAATTTGGCCCAAATTTCATTAAAAGATAAACCCGAATTTCATTAAAATTTGGCTCAAATTTCCCAATGTCCCCTTGACAGTAGAAAGTTAATCAGTCAGTATCAGTGTGAGCATGACTGTTATCCGAACTTCACGCGTCGTGCCGTGCCCGGTAGTCGCTGTTTAGATGTCCCCCTCAGCGGGTTGCAGCTGAGAGATTGTAAACCTGTGCTTTACGTGTATAAGCGTGTGTCAACCGCATGCACCAAATGTATCGATATGTATGCATACACGTCGTGCCGCATGTTTATCGCAGAGCTCATGTTGTATCTGTGTCGTCTGCTTCTCTGTTGTAGTGGTGGGACGAGGTGCTGGACATCTTCGATGGGGTAGGTTGGAGTGTGTGCTGCCGTGGTTGTTGTGTGGTCTCACCCTCCACGTCGGCCCCGAACGGTGTTCTCATTCCCGAAGCCTTTTCTCTTTGTTTGTTTTGCTCAAGAGGGCCCCCAAACATTTGGCAACTATGTATAAATATTTTTTAAATCAAAAACTTCGAAATTTTCAAATTTTTTTTTTAAATAAAAGCTTAAAAAATCAAAAGAAAGATTTTTAATTAATCTAAATCTTTTAAAAATTTGAAAACGTTTTCAAATTTTGAATTTTAAATTTCAATTTTTAATGTCCAATTTTTTAATTTTCGGTTTGCGAAAAAAATTTAAAACACGAACTGTAACGAGTGTGACGGGGTCCCTCTCGAGCCCTCCCCCTCTAATGACTGGTTTGTGTCTTGGCCGTGTGTGCTTGTGTGTGCCGTTGCGCCGCGCCGTGCCTCGCGTCGTAGTGGTTGGACGACCAGTGGTCACCTCCGCGCTGTCGCCGCAGGCTCGCCTTCCTACAAAGTGTAAGCAGCAGCAGCATGCCGCTCTGGAACCCTTTGTGGGCCTTCCTCTGGACCCCTCCCCCCCCCTCCCCCTTCCCCTGGCGTAGTCCTCTGGAATCCCCGCTGCGGGCAACAGGCAGACGCTGCCGCCGCTGCCGCCAATGTGACTAATGCTGATATTAACGGCCCGCTGCTGTTGGCGGAGGCCGGCTGGGGCACGGCAGCTAGGGCAGAGCGAGGTGCCACGCCGTCCCAAATCTAATATTGCCAGGCGGCCTCTGCCAGCCTCTAGCCCGGTCTCTGCCCCGGCTTCTGTCTGGCCTCTGCCCGGCCTCTGCCCGGCCTCTGCCCGGCCTCTGCCCGGCCTGTGCCTCCTCTGGCCTGTCGGCGAGTCACGCGGTCGGGGGGAATAATTAATAATTGGGGTCCGGGGAATCTGCATGCTGGCCCCGACTGCAGTTGTTGTTGCTGCTTCTGCTGTTGTTGTTTTTGTTGTTGTTGTTGGGAATGGCGCACGAAGCTGCTGCCGCCGGTCGATTCCCAAATGAGCGGGCCGAATCTCCGGAAAATCGGCACGGAAAACGAAAACAACAACAACTGTTCTGTATGGGACTGCTCCATTTTCCCGCTCTTTTATCTCTACCTCTCTTTCTTGAAACAGCTAAATTCTCTGTTGTTCTGTGAAGCATGCGTGAACTGCCTGAAACTTTTTTGCACGAAGCCGCAAGCGCGCGCCCTGGAGCTCCAGGCTAGCCGTCTGGTCTGCGCGGTCCAGGCGGGGCTCGGCGGGGCGGGGCCGAGCTAGAGAGACTGGAACGTCTCTCCAGCGGGTCCAACCTCTCGAGCGGTCCCCGCAAGTGCCGTGGGCATTACGGCATTATTCAAATTAATCGCTGCACTGTAAGTGGCCTATTAAAACTTGTCGCTCGAACCACGGCCCGCCGCGGCGGGGTTTCGAATCGTCAACCCCCCGGCGGTCGGTCGTGGTCGTGGGTCTCGTTAAGATGCTTCACTCTTTCGAACAGCTTAAGGGATCTTTTAAACGCGGCACGGAAAGAAAAGGTTGGCGTGCTCTGCTGAATCGCGCCGCCACGCGAAGCGCGAAGCGGCCTTGAGTTACGCTCTGGATTTGTTTTGTGCGCACGGTTTCTGCTTGGTCACGTTGTGTTGCCCTGTACTGGCTTGCTGTCAAGTTCCAGCAAGCGGCCGAAAAGAGAGAGAGTGCGAGAGAGAAACAACTCACCCCGGTCTTCTTCCTGCCGACAGATGGAGAAACGAAACAAGGAAAACCTGCAAGCTTTCAAGCCAACTTTTATGACCTAGTGAGTTTCTTTATTTTTTATTTACTCTGACCTCTTGCAACTTGGGATTTTTGGAAAGAGGGGAAACTTGCCGCGAAATAAGAATTTACAAAATAAACCGAGGTTATGTCGCTGTGTTGCGCAGTGCGCCAACGTCCCCCCACTTTTTCATCAAGCTAATTTATTTACGCGCGAATCCTTATGAAAATTTGTCGCATTGAAGCGGACTTGTTTGACGTTGACCTTGCCCCCGCAGCGCGCTCAAGGAGTCCGGCTACGAGAGTGACACCCAGCTTGTGGTGCGGCGGCGCGAGGACGGCCCCGGCACCGAGCCCCTGTCCCCGGCGCAGCAGCGCACCGCCTACAAGGAGATCCAGAAGGGGGGCGACGTCCCCCTGCACGGCCTGCGAAAGACGGCGCCCGAGAAGCCCAAAGGTGAGTCCCGGACACCGAGGCGGCGTTGTCCGAGGCGACGCCGGGGCCGTCTTTGACGGCGTCCTCGGAGGACGTCTTTGACGGCATCCTCGGGGGCGTCTTTGACGGCGTCCTCGGAGGACGTCTTTGACGGCGTCCTCGGGGGCGTCTTTGACGGCGTCCTCGGAGGACGTCTTTGACGGCGTCCTCGGAGGACGTCTTTGACGGCGTCCTCGGAGGACGTCTTTGACGGCGTCCTCGGAGGACGTCTTTGACGGCGTCCTCGTGGGCGTCTTCGACGGCGTTCTCGGGGGCGTCTTTGACGGCGTCCTGGCGGCCGTTCTCGGTGCTGTCATTACCGCGAAGGCTGTCGTCTCGACGACGCGGCCACGCGGCCTGCAAACAGGCGAAGTTTTCTCATCATTTTAGCCGTCCGTCTGGTCCAGCGCAGCGCACGCTCCAAGGGACGCACCCTGGCGCCACCAGCCGCCAGCCGCGGTGTCGGCGCACGGGGCACGTCACAGAGACTCGCATGGAACTGGGTTTTGGTGGTTTTGGTGGAGGTGTTGCCTGTCAAAGCTTTTATTTCGCCCCCTCGAAACTTGCCGCGTCGCGGCGCACCGCTCTCTCTCGCTCCTTCTGGGACCCGCGACTAACGCCGCCGCCGCACGGGGCCCCGTCGCACGCTCGGCTCGGCAGCCAGACTTCACTCAGCCAACAACTTCAACTTTTAGCCCTTCTGCGAGCCCTCCGCCGCGGCGGCCAAGCGCACAGCGCGCACAGCCCCTTTCGCTTTGCGCTCTGCGCTTTGCCCCGGGCTGGCGGGGCTGGCGGGGCTGGCGGGGCTGGCGGCGGTCCCGGGCAAATGCATGCCGACCTCGTGCATGACAAGCCACGCGGGGCGGCCGCCGCTCAGCCGCCGCTCAGCCGCCCCTTGGCGCCCTCCCCCACCCCCACCCCTCCGCACCGTCACCGCACAGCCCCTTTCACTTCCCATATCCCTGAGGCTGAATGGGCCGGGGACCGCACGGGTCGCACGGCGCACAGGACGAGGATGCTGGTACACCAGCTGAGTGCACTCTGCTGCGTCTGTCCGCCTGTTCATCTGTCTGTTCGCCTCTCTAACGACCTACGCATACGTGACACATTTATGTCTGCGTATGTTTTCTTTTGTCTGTCCCTCTCTGCTGAACCAATCGCGGCGGCATTCTGTTGCGTAAGTCAAAGCCGAAATGAATCATTACTCGTGAATTTAACCTTCAAATCGATTAACACCTTCGCGCCGAAGCCAAGTTTGGTGGAAAAGCCTAGATGCCGAGGGTGCTAACTTCCGAACCTTACGTCGCAACCACATGGCACATGGATATTCGGACTTGGTATGACCACCCAAACACCATGCGCCAAAAATCTCCTATACGAGAACCATGTTCTCGTGTCGGCGTCTGAGCCTTTGCCGTACGAGAACCATGTTCTCGTACCGGCTGAAAAGCCACAATTGGTGGTAAAGGGATGATACAATTAGAACTCAACCAAAAAAAAAAGACTCAGCCTCTTTACGAGAACATGGTTCTCGCACGATAAAAGCCCAAACGCCGATACGAGAACATGGTTCTCGTCACGAGCTGTTTTCGTTCAAAACCTCTAGAAAAGATGGGGTAACTCGGATCGAAAAAGCGATGCCATATTTGGCACGAGAACCATGTTCTCGTGCCATATTACATGCTTGAGACTTAGATTTTTAGCCGAAATGTTGGAAATTTTACGCAGATTCCGAATATGGCATCGCTTTTTCGATCCGAGTTACCCCATCTTTTCTAGAGGTTTTGAACGAAAACAGCTCGTGACGAGAACCATGTTCTCGTATCGGCGTTTGGGCTTTCAGCGTGCGAGAACCATGTTCTCGCACCGGCGCGAAGGTGTTAATCAAAGCCATGCTTCTAATTTAAAATTCATCCTAGCTCATATACTTATTGTTTTTTTTCCGCTCGTGCTTGCCAATGCCTCTGGGCGTGCATAGAGGACGCCGACGTCCCCTCGCCCCGTCCCCGCCTGTCCCGTCGTCGCCCTGCCGGCCCCGCCAGCCCCGCCAGCCCCGCCAGCCCGTCCCCTACCTTCTCCCAGCTGAAGCGCAGCGCGCCGTCCCTGGTGCCGCTGCTCGGCTCCCCGCCGCCCCCGTTGACGCCGCGACGCCGGTCGTCGTCGCGCGGCTCCACGCTCCGCCTCTGGTCCAGGATGAGCCTGGCCAGCTCGACGCCGTCGTCGTCGACGCCGCGCAGGTCCGTGTCCGCCTCGGCCGCCGACTCGCACGTGCGCTACCTGCGCGACCGCCTGTCCGCCAAGCTGGGCGTGGAGGCCGAGCCCGCCGCCGCCAAGAAGAGCAAGGGCGAGGCCAAGCGCCGGAAGCAGGTGGCGGCCAGCCCCGCCAGCCCGGCCACCAGCAGCACCGCGGCGCCGCCCAAGCCGCGCACGCGGTCGCCGCGCAAGGAAGGCCGCGCCAGCAAGGACCCGCTGCGGCTGTCTCCGCCGCTGGCCGCGCCCTCCGCAGTGCGCCGCGTCCTGCGCACCTCCACGACGGTCAGCAAGGACGAGAAGGACCGCGCCGTCAAGGTGACGGTCAACATCTCGGCGCGCGGGAACAACAACAAGCCCTCGCCGCAGCCCGGCAGCAGCCGCAGCAGCCGGCCGTCCAGGCCGCCGTCGTCGACCTCGACGCTCCGCGACGCGGTGCTCAGTGAGGCCAGACGGCCCGGGTCGCGAGCCAGCCGCCGCGGCGCGGAGTCCACCGAGCCGCCGGAACCCATCACCATCTTCAAGTCCCCCGCGCGGAGGACGCCGTCGGAGGATCCGACCGCCCGGAGGAAGGTCCGGCGCCCGCGGCCGGAGTCCGTGGTGTACCCAGTGCCCCCGCCCGCGCCCAGGGTCATCGCGGCCAGGAAGGTGGCCAGCTCGTCTGCCAGCCCGCGACCGCGGCGCGCCGACGACGCCCCACCGTCGTGCTCTTACAGAGGCACTACCGTCAGGACAGAGACACCGCCTCGGCCGGAGCGCCCCACAGGCCACGTGTCGCTAGTGGACACCAAGCCCGTCGTCCGCTACTGGCCCGCGTCCGGCCCGCCCGGCTCGCAGCACTTCTTCGAGCACCTCTTCTGTCGCGACCTGTCCCCCACGCCCTCGCAGCTCAGCATGTCGCGGTTGTCCGTGGCGGAGCGCGCGAGGCTGTTCTGCGGCGGTGCGCCGCCGCCGGCCCGGCCCGCCTTCAAGTCGGAGCCGTCGCTGGGCTCGCTCAACGTGTACCTGCAGCAGAAGAAGCCCGTGTCCGAGTCCCGGTTCCGCAGCCTGGACCGCGCGTCCAGGCTGTCCAGGTCCTCCAGCCCGCCGCGGCGCCGCGCGCTGTGCCCGGACCGCGACCACGACTTCTTCTCCATGGTGCAGCGCTTCGAGGCCGAGGAGAGCGTGCACGTGTCCGTGACGCACCGCAGCGCCAGCGAGCCGCCCCCGAGCGCGCCGCCCCCGCCGCCCCCGCCCCTGCAGCCCTGCAGCGCACGCACCGCGACGGTCAGCAGGTCGCCCTCACACCGCCGCATCCAGGGCGCGCGCAGCTCGCGGCGCTCCGTGGAGGGCGTGGAGGGCGTGCGCGTGGAGAGCGTCCGCGCGGCCCGAGGCGCGGACGCGGAGCACCACGACGGCGGCGGCAAGCGGCGCAGCCTGAGCCTCAGCTCCAGCACGGTGGACGAGCAGCACCAGGACTACCAGGCCTACGTGCTGGAGCTGGTGCACGCCACCAAGAAGTCGGAGCGCTTCCGGGAGCTCAACGAGTTCTACACCAAGCTGGAGCGCATGGGGCAGCTGGAGCGCACGGCGTCCACGGGGGACCTGCGTCCGCGCGGCCGCCACGAGGAGATCATCGACTACGACCGGTGGCGCAGCGTGCGTACCAAGGAGCGCGCCGAGGAGGAGCTGCAGCGCCTGTACCGCCGCCTCAAGGAGGACCAGCGCAGCAAGGACCTGCTGTTCTCCACCAAGGACGTGAACGCCGTGCGCTGGAAGGGCGACCGCGGGCTGCGCGTCAAGGACCGCTCCGTCGAGGACCTGCGCACTCACTTCCGCCGCCTGAGCACGGAGGACGCGTCGCGGTCGTCGTCGTGCACGCGGCACCAGGACGTGTACAAGCCGCTGTGGCGGGGCAACTCGGTGGCCAACCTGGCCAACAGCTTGAAGCGGACCTCCGCCTCGCACCGCGGCCGCCCCGTCACGCGCACCGAGCTCACCTCGCGGTCCCTGGACCGCAAGCACCTCACCAGGCACGAGGTGGGCGCCATCGGCAACCGCCTGTGGAGCAGCCTGTCGCTGGAGCAGGTCAACGCCCTCAAGTGCCAGCTCAACGAGATCTACAGCAGCGGCGGCTCGCTGCGGCGCGGCGCCTCGTCCGACGCGGCCGGTCGGTGCGTCGTGACGGTGGGCGAGGACGCCAGCTGCGACGCCGGCTCGCAGGGGCAGCTGTTCGTACGCAGCAACTCGCTCGTCAGCAGCGAGGACCTGTACGCCGAGATCCTGATGCGGCGGCAGCTGCGGCGCGCCGAGAGCCTCAAGGCGGACTCGATCGGCTCGCTGGCGGCGTGGCGGGACGAGGACGAGCACCACCACCACCAGCACCACCACCAGCAGCAGCAGCCCAGGCCGGCGCCAGCGCCCTGCCACAACCTGACCGAGGCCGACAAGCGGCGGCTGTCGCGAACGCTCGGCCAGGAGGTCCTGCACCGCCGACGCGCGCGCAGCGTCGTGTCCCCCAGGGAGACGATGGGCGCCGTGGCCGCCAAGGAGGCCAACGTGGTGGCCTGCAAGTGGACGCCGTCGTCGCCGCGGACGTGCTACTCGCTGGAGACGTCCGACGGCCAACGCGAGGACCTTCTCATCGTCCTCGACGAGCCGCCACCGCCACCACCGCCACTGCCGGCGCCGCCCGAGACGAAGAGGGTGAAGGCCTCCAAGAAGCAGGCCAAGGAGCACGTGGAGCAGCCGCGCGCCGTGTCCGCCAGCGAGACGGAGAGCGCGAGCTCGGCCACGTCCACCAGGACCGTGATCCGGGTGGAGCCGCACGTGCAGAGCAAGGTGGACTACTTCGAGAGCATGGAGAGCAGCTCCGGGCCCGCGTCGCTCGCCGCCACTGCAGTGCCTTGCCCAGCGTCGCCGGCCTTGAGCACCGCGGCGATGGCGGCGATGGCGGAGCAGCCCGACGCCGAGGCCATCGATCGGCGGCCTGCATCGGCCGCGTCCGCCGCGTCCGCCGCGTCTGCTGCATCGGTGTCCCCCGGTACCAACGGCGCGACTACCACTACCAGCGCTACAGGCGCTACAGGCGGCGGCCTCTCGAGCTCGCAGTCGCACGCCGACCTGAGGGAGCTCTTCGGCGAGAGCCACGCGGGCCGCCACTACGCCGCCAGCACTGCGGCGCACGCCCCGCGGCAGCCGCCGCCGCGCCGGCCGCGCTCCGCCAGCCTGGAGAGCCTGCTGCAGCACTCGCCCGCCGCCTCGCCCGACCCCACCAAGTACTACCGCGCCTACATCCGCATGGTGAAGGGCGGCGACGTGCGCCGCCTCGCCGACCGCTTCGAGAGCCTCGACGACCTCACGTACATGTGCGTGCGCGACCCGCGCGACGCCCCCGGCGCCAGGGCGCGCCTGGCCAGGGCGTGCCGCAGCGACCCCGACCTGGCGCGGCCTGGCGCCGAGGACAGGCGCGTCGTGGTCCGGGGCCACGAGGCCGGCGACGTGGACTGGCTGCGGCGCCGGTACGAGGCCAACAAGGGCGTGCGCAAGCAGGCGTCGCCCGTGCCGCGCAAGCCGCTGGACGACCGCTTCATGCCCCACATCAACGTCATCAGCAAGACGGCCAGCTTGCAGCGCCGCAGCGCCACCGCCAGCAGCACCTCGTCGTGCTCCAGGGGCAGGCCGACGGGCAGGCCGACGGGCAGGCCGACGGGCAGGCCGACCCCCAGGCCGCGGTCCGACCCCAGCCCCGAGGAGCGCTTCCGCACCGGGACCGTGGACCGCCTGCGATCCAAGTTCGAGTCGGAACTGTCCTTGCTGGGCCAGATGTTCACGTCGACGCCGGACGTGCACGAGCTGAGAGACATCGCGCCCTTCTTGGGGTGCCGCTGGGTGGCGCACCAGTACCCGGAGCCCGAGCCCATGTCCCCGCTCAGCCGCTCGCTGTCCGCCCTCGACGTGGAGCGCGCCCGGTCCCCCGGCAGGCCGCCCGCGCGCCCGCGCCCCGCGTCCGCGTCCCCGACCCGCCGGCAGCCCGCCTCCATCCTCAAGCAGGCCAGGTACGACAACGCGGGGGGCTCACGTCAGCGCAGTGCGTGCAGTGACTTGCACCAAACAAAACCAAACACGATGACAAGGACACTGCGCCGGGATTCGAACCCGGCGGCTTTACAGCCCCGCCCTTGCCCTCCTTGCGGTAAGGGCAACCTTGACGAGACGAGCACGATGCGCTGACGTGGGCATGCCGATATCCCCCTCCCTCGGCCTGCCTCGGCCTGCCTCGGCCCCGAGGCCGCGCCACCGCAGCGCAACAGCGGTTCGGCGCGGCCGGGCGTGGCGGGGGGTGGCCGTCGCCGTCGTCGTGTCTCTAGGAGCTGTTCCCCCAGGCACCGCGCCGCCGCCGTCAACGTCCCCGTCACCTACGACCGCTTCGCCAACCAGCCCTTCGACCCGAGCATCCACCGGCCCGTGTGCCGCTACCAGCCCGTGCCGCCCCCGCTGCCGGAGCCCTGCCGCCCCCTGCGGCCGCTGCGGCCCGTGCTGCCCCGCCGGCCCTGGACGGCCATGGACTACTGGTGGCGGCACTGCGTCGCCCCGCGGCCCAGCGTCCACTTCAAAGGTGTCCACGCCCTCCTTGACGGCCACCTCGAGCACCTCGGCACGCACCGACATCGGCACCGCCTCTCCAACGCACCCACGTCGCCGCACCGTCCGCGACCACTGTCCCCCACCCCCACCCCACCCGTCGCACCAAGCCCCCTAACCAAAAAGCAATAAGCCCCGCCGCTGCGGGGATTCGAACCCGAGCCGGGCGGGACACGCTCCACCAAAACCTTGTTCCTTGTTGAGTTGAGAGGCAGACAAAGCCCCGCTGCGGCTGGCCAGCGCTGCCAGCGCGGGGTGGCTGCCGATCGGACGCGCAGTCTGCGGCGAAGAAAGAGAGGGGAGGGGGGCTCCGCCGCTACACCGTAGTGGGCCTCTCACACGAGGCCCACTACTACACCGTCTAGGGGGGTGATTGTCTACGCTGCACTGTGTTCGCCGGTGGCGTCGCCATCCCCTTCAGAAGGGCCAGAGGTCCGTGCGTGTTCACGTCTTCCATGTTGTCCTTCAGATCCCGAGCCAGAGCTCGACTTTACTCACGGCGTGGCCCCCGTGTCGGCCGCGTCCGCCGCGTCCAGGGCGTACGAGTCGGAGCCAGGTAACGTGCTGCCTGCTGTGCGGTCGTGTGTTCCAAGCTGAATAACCCTGTTGCTTTGTGTGGACAGACTAAAAAAAAAAGCACGGAGCGGCGGACTTGGGCGCTCGATCGTCTGGAAGCATTTAATGGTCTGCGGTCTTGGAGTAATTCTGCAAGCGGGCGGGGAAGCGAGCTCTTTTTCGTGCGCTGGATTAACGAATTGTGTGGTGCAGTGAAAAATTAACCAGACGCGAGAAAAAAAAAGAACGAAAGAGAATGAAAGAAACGCACCAGAGTGTTTTTACTGCTCGACTAAAACGGCGTTTTTCAAATAATTTTGTTTCGGGGCAGTTGTTTTCTCTTTGTTTTCAGTGCCTTCTTTAAAAAAACGCAATCTTTTAATCTTTATTTCAGTGTTGTTGTGACTTGAGAAACTAACAGGGCGTTGCCTTCTTCTCTTCAAAGCGGCTGCAATGGTGCATCGTGTAGCGACCTTGTCTTGATGGTTCTTGTTCGCCCCTCCACCCCCCCCCTCCCACAGCCTCCTCGTCGTCTGCTTCCTCGTCCTCGAGCGCGGCTCGCTTGATCTCCGGGACCCTCCGAGGTAATCATCGTGTCCCGCGTGGCGGCAAAAACGACACAACAGGTCTGCAGGTCTGGCGCATGCTTCATGGTCCGCGCCCCACGCTCGGGCTGCTCGGCCGGGCCGAGGCGCCGAGGGCCTCGACGAGCAGGAAAGAGAGAGACGGCGAGGGCGCTGCCGCGGGCTGTCGTCGCTCTGTCTCTGTCGCACCCTCACGGAACGCCCCACGAGTGCGAGAGAGGCAGATAGCGACGAAAACGCCGCCCGGAACCGCCCTGCCGCTTTCTAGGGAACTAACTAAGCCTACGGCCTACGGGGGCGCCGAAACGTCAGCGCGAAAGGAGAAAGGAAAGGGGGAGGGGGTGGGGGGAGGGGAATCGTCGGAACGCCGAGACGAACAATTGGCTCGATGGGCCCCTAAACTAATTAGTGCGGAAAGCCGCGTGCCGACGCAAGCAGTCGAAGCGCGGGCGGATTAGCCGCGAAGCACGACGCGAAGCACGACGCGAAGCACGACGCGAAGCACGACGCGAAGCACGACGCGAAGCACGACGCGAAGCACGACGCGAAGCACGACGCGAAGCACGACGCGAAGCACGACGCGAAGCACGACGCGAAGCACGACGCGAAGCACGACGCGAAGCACGACGCGAAGCACGACGCGAAGCACGACGCGAAGCTCGCGACTCCCGAAGCAGGATAATGGCGGGACTCGACGTGTGTTGTCACGTGAAGATGAGTCGGGGAGGGGGGGGGGAAGACCGGCCCGGGCCGCCTGTCGCGTCCGCCGGCCGTCGCATCGACGGTGAAGACCTATGGAAATGTCAGGGTGGGGTGGAGGGCCGGTGGGCGGGGAGGCCTGCACGAGGACGAGGGCTGCAAAGGCTGCAAAGGGTGCCGCCGGCTCGCCAGGTGCGCCGGCCGAGTGGCACGTCCACGTCGCGTCGCGGTGGTTCGGCCCGTCGTCGCGGTGCTCGCGGACGTCCTCCGCGTCGTGGTGGCGTCGCCGTTGCGGGAGGCCGTCATCAAGGGGGCGCGGCGGCCGGCGGGGGCGGACCATCCGGACGACCAGGATGCGCCGCCCCCGCCCGCCCCGCGCGCCGCGCCGCGCACCGTGTCCGCGGCCTCGACGGCCACGCCGATGCCCGCGCCGCGACTCCGCCAAGGGCCCCGTCAAGGACCCCGCCAAGGGCCCCGCCCCGCCCTGTGCTGCCCCGCGGGCTGCGGCCTGGCCCGCGGCGGGGCCATGGTCGCCGTCAGAGGTACGAAAGACTGACTAGTGCGCCGCCGTGCCGCCATCCGCAGGCGGCTGCAGGCTGATTCCGATCAGTGCCCCGTCTCTCGCACCCTCGCGCCTGCGCCCAGTGAGCGCGAGAGAGACGGAGCGACCGGTGTCGCTTCGCTCGGCGCGGCCGGGGAAAGGTCAGCATCTATTCCCGCAATGCACGTGTCGCCGTGCCGCCGCGCCGCCCGGATGGTCGCAAGGGGCCGCGGTGGGACGACAAGAAGGACGAGACCCACCTGCTTCTCCCCACCTGCCGCCTCCCACTCACCCGCCCTGGTTGTGGTTGTGGTCCTTACCGTGTACCAGCCCCTGACGCCGCCGTCTGCCCGCAGAGTCTCCACACCGCTACACTGACTCCGAGGTGACGATCCGCTACCGGTCCCCGGTGTCCGCCCTGGACGCCGGCGGCCGGCCGCTCAGCGAGCAGGAGCTGAGCCGGCGCCAGGCCGAGGCCATGCGCAGGCTGTACCAGGAGGAGCGCCGGCGCAAGTACCTCTACGAGCTGCAGGACATCAACTCCCGCAGGCACACCGACAACTTCACGTGAGTGCTCCCAGCGACCGTGTCCCTTCCCGTAAACCGAGAGTCGTTTTCGTCGCCCTGTCTCTCTCGCACCGGCACAGAACGCCCCACGAGTGCGAGAGAGACAGAGGGACGGAACCGACTCTCGGAATCAGTCTGCTGGCACAAGCGAACGCCAATCCGTTCCCGCGAATGTGCGTACCGCGTGGTAATGCGTGTTTACGGACGTGTGTCTGTGTACGCGTGCGTGTGTGCGAGGGACTAAGGAGCTCTGCGGGGGGGGGGGGCTTTCTCGCGGCGACGCGGCGTGCCGTCGCGCGGCGTAGCTCGGCGCTGCCACCCCTGAAAGCCACTCCACTCCTCTCCAATTTCTTCGTTGCCACGGTTAATCTTGTTGGCCAGGCGGCACGCCAAGTCCCCGCTCCGAGCCGCCGAGCCTGGCCGAGCCTCGCTCCCTCCCCGCATTACGTGGGGCCACGCGCATTAGGGTGCCGCAGACGACGAAACAACAACAACAAAAACACTGATTCCTATTCAGTTGGTTATTGTAATTTGGTTGGTTGGTGCTTGCAGGCCGTCGCAGAAATCGCCCATCCCGCTGAACCGCTACGACGACCTGCTGGACGAGTACTGGACGTCGGGCCGGAGTACGACCCCGGTGGCCCGGCTGGCCGCCAAGGCGCTCTACAACTTCGTGGGCCAAACGCCGAGGTGAGTTCACACTTTCCTTTCTTCTCCATTTTCCAGTCCATTTTCTCGCTTTCGCCACGCGGCTCTCTTTACCTCTCCGTCTGCGTCGTCGTTCGAAATTCGGCGGCGAACCCTGACATATCACAGTGGGCCAGAAGACCGGTGGAGGCCACCAAAACTCCAGACGCGTTTTGAGCTCCAGAGTCGCTAATAGGGACTCGAACCGAACGTGTGACCCCACCAATAGATTCCTCGTTCGAAGAGCAATCCATTAGTGGGGTCACACGTTCGGTTCGAGTCCCATTTAGCGACTATGGAGCTCAAAACTCGTCTAGAATTTTGGCCGCCTCCACCGGTCTTCTGGCCCACTGTGCATATATCTCCCTTCGGCCCGCTCGGGCCCGCTGTGGCTGAGGATTCCCAGGGCGGGGTAAAAGGGGAGGGGGAGGGGGCTCTTTCCACCACCGGCGGAGGAAGATCCTGGAGCGCGCGCGAGAGAGAGATTGGTGAACTTGAATTGAGCCCTCTTCCAGGAGAGAGACGCGCCCGCCGCCCGCCGCCGCCGCCTCTCTCGCACAGGCCTTGCCGAAGCGTGCGCTCCCTCTCTCTCTCTCTCTCTCTCTCTCTCTCTCTCTCTCTCTCTCTCTCTCTCTCTCTCTCTTGCGCGCTCACTCAACCCCCCGCTCGCTCCTCGCTGCACGACGGCGGTGGGGCGCTGGCATGCTGGGTCCTGGAAGTCCTGGAAGTGGGTCACGATGCTGACGGTTGTTTATTTCCTCCAGGGAGCTGAGCTTCCGACGCGGCGACGTGATCCTGGTCAAGCGGCAGGTGGACCGCAACTGGTACGAGGGCGAGCACAACGGCACCATGGGCCTGTTCCCGGCCAACTACGTGGAGGTGCTGCCCTACGACCACCTCCGCGCCACGCCCACCAAGCGCGTGCAGGAGGGCCAGGCGCGCGCCCGCTTCAACTTCATCGCGCAGACCCGGCTCGAGCTGTCCCTCGCCAAGGGTAAGCTCACAGTGCACTCGTAACAAACACGTTCGATATGTCTTTTGTCCGAAGAAAAAGCGGTCCTTTTGACTGTAACTTTGTTTCCCAGGCGAGCTGGTGAACCTGATCCGTCGCGTGGATGAGAACTGGTTCGAGGGCCGCGTCGGCAACCAGAAGGGCATCTTCCCCGTGTCCTACGTCGAGGTCCTGCTCGAGCCCAGCGAGAGGCCAGGTAAGCCCGCTGGAGACTGGAGCGCCTGCGAACGTCAGGGTAGGCCATCCGCCGCACGGCTGTGCGTTGCAGCACCGCGATGCGTGCCAGGCGCTCGCTCTCCTCAGGCGGCCAAAATGCAAGACGCGTTTTGAGCTCCAGAGTCGCTAAATGGGACGCGAACCGAGCGTGTGACCCCACCAATGGATTCCTCGTCCAGAGAGCAATCCATTGGTGGGGTCACACGTTCGGTTCGAGTCCCATTTAGCGACTCTGGAGCTCAAAACGCGTCCGGGATTTCGGCCGCCTCCACCGGCCTTCTGGCCCACTGTGGACACTGAGACGTTGCTGCTCGCAGCGACGACGCCGATCCCGACGGGCAAGCCGGTGGCGGCCCCGGCGGCGCACAGCCTCATCCTCAACGGCACCACCAACGGGCCGTCCAGCATGGCGCACCACTCGTACCAGCCGCCCACCAGCCGCTCGCCCGCCAACTACTCGGGCGTCACCGCCTACAGTGCCGTGCCAGCGGCAGCCATCGCGCCCACCCAGGTACACTACAAATTTAAAAAAAAAAAGAAACGGGCGTTTTTCTTTTTTAACTCAGTGTTTCTGAAGTCCTGGAAAATGTTGAATCTGCGGATTCTGAGCAGGTGTGTCTAAGGATACTCTGCGCGGTTGACAACAAAAAAGAAAAAGTCTAGAAAATACCCGTACTTGAACCCGCGACTCACCACGGCGCGCTTTCTTGGCAGGCCAAGCCGCAGCAGACCCTGACGCAGACCCTGCACGTGGATACGCACTCCGACCCGGTGCCGTAAGTAGCGACTAGTTAGTTAGCGCGCCATTTGGCTGCGAAGCGCGGCGAAGCCCAGCCTCGCTCAACTTTACTTCGTCAAAGAAGTTTCAAAAAAAAGGGGAAAATAATAACCGGGGCTGCCGCAGGTACCGCGCGCTCTACAACTACCGGCCGCAGAACGACGACGAGCTGGAGCTGCTGGAGGGCGACCTGGTCCTCGTCATGGAGAAGTGCGACGACGGCTGGTACGTCGGCTCGTCGCAGCGCACCGGCTTCTTCGGCACCTTCCCTGGAAACTACGTGGAGAGGCTATGACCGACGTAAGCAGTCACTGTCACTGTGCTGTTTACCCATTTTTTTTGGTGTCGGATTTTCAGCGTTTTTTGTTGTTTTTTTTGTTTTTAGATACCGGAAAAGTGCCGCCAGCATCCCGCTTCGGTGACGTCACCGCACACCGAGACGAGGCAGTGGAGTGAGCCTATGAAGCCAGGCGAGTGCCGAGGGCTGTGACCTGCTGAAGGATCTAAAGCCAAAGGGAAACGTACTAATCATTAATGCTGGAGGATTTCCTCCCCGGCGGGGAACAACGGTCCTCCATCATTGCCATACAGTTTATATATTTTCTCGAACTTGTCTGGGAGGACATTCGCACAGGGAATCTTTAGTCGATAATGAGGGTATTGTGTGCTCGTCATAGTCATGTACTCCACCAGCTGTTCACTAGATAATGTAATTAGTTGATTATGATTGGGCTTTTTCTTTTTTTTCGAATCCACAGGGACAGAAACACAACACATGTCCTGTGCTATGAGTTTTTCTCATCTTTGAAGTTCATTGAAATCAAGTGATTCATGTGCTGGTAGTTATCTAGTCAAGCTTTTGCACGCACATATTAATTTACTCATTCTTTAGAATCTATTTTTATAACGAAAGCATTATTACTAAAGAACTGATCGCTTTTCACGTTCGCATATAAAAGACAGGCCCAAAGAAGTTGGGGTGAAAATGACACAAGAATTGTTATTACGTTAATGGCGTAAGTTATTACTTTTATTTTATGACAGAGTAGAAATTTAAGGTTTTTCATCCAACAGTGTCACTGTCCTGAAGTTGAAAATGGCAAACCATGCACGGGCCCATCCGTGCAGCGATCTTACCCACTTTTCCTTTGTTGAGAAAGTGAGCTTTCAAGAGAGCGGAGTCCATCTAGGATAGGTCTGAATTGTCTCTCAGTTGGTGCAGACAAAAGCAGACGAACCCTTTCTCAGATTTGCGGTGAGCATGTTGCATCCCTGGTATCTGTGTGTTATCCAATGCACTAACTGTTTATCAAATAAACTGTGTTTCTATTGTAAATTGTGGAGACTTTTCACAAAAGATGAGAAAACTGATTTATTGGATAATTTATTTTTAACTAAACTTGTTTTAAGTAAGCAGCCCTTCCTTGAGGACCAGGTTGCAGATTTCCCGATTGGGAGAGCTTCCGAACTTCATCGATTCGTAAACTGAAAACAACCTCCTTCCATTCAATGGAGTTCTGAAGCTCTCCTCTGACAAAACGTCTGTGTTTCATTCGTTTAAACGTAACAAAGTTAGTTGTATGATGTGAAAGAAACCTGTACGTGTTCATTGTAACCATTAAAAAAAACATGTAACACAACATTTAGTAAAGCACTAATGCAGTCCATTGTATATGTTGTTTTTTGTCCGCATTTGTTTTTGTGAATAGTTTCTCGTCACGTGAAACAGAATAAACCTAAATATAGCCTGTGACACAATCAAGTTTTTGCCTCGTTTTGTCCCCCTCCAACCCAGCAGCCTGGCCGTCTCACTTCCCCTCACCGCTCCTACAATTTATCAGCAGGGTGCGTACCAAGTCCATCACGTCTATCGGAGCGTAGCTGTCCGAGAGTCACTTTTGTCGCTCTCTCTCTCTCGCACTCACGGGGCGTCCCGTATAGGTGCGAGAGAGACGAGCGACGAAAACGACTCTCGGAATCAGTCTGCAGCGGTGCCAGTGGACGCCACCCAAGGTCACTCGGATATTTTTAACTCATCCCTCACGTCCTGCGGACAGGGCAGCGCCCGCGGCAAGCCGGCGGCAGGACCAGGGCCGCACAACTTTATCATTTTGGCGCTCTGAATGCAGGAGCGTGCGCGGTCCGCCATGTGCTCCGCCCGTACTCCCCCACAGCCATAAACCGTTGGGCCTCTATCCGCCGGGGCTGTCTGGACATCGACAAACACCGGCCGCCCTCCTTTGAAGTCTCGGCGGCCAGCAAGGCCAGCAGCACTCTGTCTCCCCCGCACTCGTGCACAGTGGGCCGGAAGACCGGTGGAGGCGGCCAAAACTCCAGACGCGTTTTGAGCTCTAGCGTTCCCCTACACTTTTTGGATCCAGTTCAAGACGAGCCTGTCACCACTCGCGCTGAGATTCGGACGTGAAAACGCCAGGTTGGCAAACATTCTGTAACACGTTTTCAAAAACCAACTGACAAAAAAACTTTGGTGTCGGAGGTTTCGAACCCGCAAACTGTGGCTTGCCGTTGCACGCCTCGAGGCGCGCGGCCACCCGTTCCTCAGCCAGCGCGGCCGCTGGTTGAGATTGATGCGTGGCAACGAGGTTAAATCATCACGCTGAACGCGGAAAAGCTTTCCAGTCCGTAAACTAAGCGAGTTAGGCTGGTTAGGCGTTCCTCTGAGGCGAGCGGAGCGGGGCCAGCCCAGCAACAACTCCAACTGGAATGCTTTGACGCGCTGCCGACTCGCGGTTTTCGCTCTGCGGGAAGTGGCGGCGCAGAGCGCGCGCCCCACAGCGGGCCAGAAGACCGGCGGAGGCGGCCAAAACTCTAGACGCGTTTTGAGCTCCAGAGTCGCTAAATGGGACTCGAACCGAACGTGTGACCACACCAATGGATTGCTCTCCGAACGAGGAATCGATTGGTGGAGTCACACGTTCGGTTCGAGTCCCATTTAGCGACTCTGGAGCTCAAAACGCGTCTAGAGTTTTGGCCGCCTCCACCGGTCTTCTGGCCCACTGTGCGCCCTGCGCCACGCCCTCTTTTGCTTTCTCACGCACCGGACTACCCAAACCAGGTCGCTGGTTTCGAGACCAGCTCGCCACCGGCCGCAGAGGAGGTCACAGGTTTCGAAGCCCGTCGCAGTGGCGAAGGCAGACTGAGCTGCGGGAGGACGCCGCGTGTGCTTCACGTGCAGTGGGGTCGGGGCCGATGGGGACACCCTTCAATCTGCTCCCCCACAGCAGGCTGATTCCGGACACTGCTTCGTCGCTCCGTCTCTCTCGCACCTCCACGGCACGCGGCACGAGTGCGGCAGAGAGGCAGTGCGGGGCGACGCCGCACAGTGGGCCAGAAGCCGGTGGAGGTGGCCAAAACCCTAGACGCGTTTTGAGCTCCAGAGTCGCTAAATGGGACTCGAACCGAACGTGTGACCCCACCAATGGATTGCTCTCCGAACGAGGAATCCATTGGTGGGGTCACACGTTCGGTTCGAGTTCCATTTAGTGACTCTGGAGCTCAAAACGCGTCCAGAGTTTTGGCCGCCTCCACCGGCTTCTGGCCCACTGTGCGCCGGGCTGCGCCATGGTGACGAGGACGAGGCGCCATTAGGACATGACAAGCCGACCAGAGATTCGGCACGACCGAAGGGACCGAAGGCCGGAGTGACAGGGAGCGCGTCCCGCCGCCAATCGCCAGCAGGCTCATTCCGAGAGTCGTTTTCGTCGCTCTGTCTCTCTCGCACTCATGGGGCGTCCCGGAAAGGTGCGAGAGAGACAGAGCGACGGAAACGACTATCGGAGTCAGTCTGCAGCGTCCTCGGCCGGCCAGTGACAGCCGTGCGCCTGGACAGCCTGGACAGCGGTCCGGTGGCTGTCAGGGATGACCAGTAACGGGGAAGGGGAGGGGGAAGGGGGGTCGCGCCACGCGCTCGCATCAAAACAGCGCCATTACGTCATCATCCTGGCGGTAGCCGCGTCTGGAATGGGCCTGGCCGTGCTGGGGGGTAGGCCACGCCAGGCTACGCAGGGCAGCCGTCTACGCCGCGCCCCGCGACGGCCCGCGACGCCCCACGACGCCATCCATGCCACGCCCCACTACGCGGGCTACGCGGGCTACGCGGCGCCGCGACCCGCCCCGCCCCGGCTCAGCAGCCCTGGTCGCGATCAGCTTGGCCATGGCACGGCCACGGCACGGCCATGGCACGGCCAACCCAGGCTCGGAGCAGCCGAGCCGGGGCCGAGGCGCGCCCGGGATGCTCCGCGGCGGGGCGGCTGGGCTCCGGGGGTGGCGGCGGCGGGAGCGGGGCGCGGCGGCGCACCGGAGGGGATATAGGGGGGTGCGGGGGCCTCCAGCGCGCAGTCTGTCCAGCGCCGCCGACCCCTGCGAATGGCCCTGGCACCGTGGCCACGTGGGCCCCTCGTGCTGCACGGCCTGCACGGGCGACGTCGCCACCGCTAGTGCCGCCATGAAGGCCACCAAGGCCGCCGTCAAGGCCAGGACGCGCGAGCCGCGCGAGCCACGCCAGCCAACCGCGCCGGGAGTGTGAAGGTCGCCGTCCACGCCGCCGCCATGGAGCCGGAGGGAGGGGGCAGCTCGGAGGGGTCGCCGTCGACCAGCGGCCGCGGTGAGTACGCCGCCGCGAGGCCGCGAGGCCGCGAGGCCGCGCCCGCGCCCGGGGTGACCGCGAGGCTGCCGCGAGGCGAGGCGGAGTTACAGGTGGCTGTCTCGCTGGCGCGGCCTGGGGCAGGGCACAGCGGGGCAAAGGCCAGCGTCTGGAGCGCTGTCGCCAAATCACAGCAAACGCGACGTTGTCGACAAGTTCTCTTCGCCGTGCTTCCCTGCCTCGCCTTGCCCTCGCCTCCTGTTCCCTGTTTCCCGTTTCCCTGCCGCCGCGCCGCCCTGCGATCCGCTTTCGGCCCCCTTGGCCCCCTTGGCCCTCTCCCTTTACGAGCGCTCTCGACGACATGGACCCGGTGGGCTGGCTGGCTGGCGGGCTGGCTGGCCGGAGTGAGCTCGGCTGGAATGGCGGGTCGTGATGGCGGCGTAGGGCCACGGCTCGGCACGGCACGGCGCGGCACGCACAGTGGGCCAGAAGACCGGTGGAGGCGGCCAAAACTCGAGACGCGTTTTGAGCTCCAGAGTCGCTAAACGGGACTCGAATCGAGCATGTGACCCCACCAATGGATTCCTCGTTCGGAGAGCAATCCATTGGTGGGGTCACACGTTCGGTTCGAGTCCCATTTAGCGACTCTGGAGCTCAAAACGCGTCTAGAGTTTTGGCCGCCTCCACTGGTCTTCTGGCCCACTGTGGCACGGCTCGGCACGGCGCGGCGCGGCACGGCACGGGTGGTTTGGGGAATCGAACGGCCGGAAACTTGAGAGGAAAAGGGGAGGAGTGCACGCTGCCGCTGCCCGTGGGCCGAGGTCTGTCGCTTCCAGAGCTTCCGCCGATCGCCGCCAGGAGAGGACACTTGGCGCTAGGGTCGCGCCGAGCCGGTCGTCTGCGGGCTCGAGTCTGCAGGCGCGGAACCACATTTTGGTGCATGCAACTATGTGAGAACTAAACGCGTGAGACCCAAACAGAGTATTGCCGTGGGTTCTTCAGAGCTTTAAGTGGTGGATGATTACACAAATAAGTAGAATCTTTTCAAATACAACGGAAAATAAATGAAAACTGTCAGTAAGGTAGCCGCCGAGAGCGCCCTCCGTGGCCAACGGCGGGTGGTGGAAGCTCTGGAAGCGACAGACATCGGCCCACGTATCCGAACGGCAGTTTACGGTGAATTATTTATATTTAGGATTTTTTCTCTCAAAATTTAAGTTGATCTTCCACTAGTTCAAGAATTTCTGTATTCAAAAAAAATTGCCTGTTACCCTTTTGAAATCAGTCGTAGCCTAGCGAACCTGAACCAATTAGGTCTGCATTTTCGACCTACTTCTCCTCCCCTGTTCCTCCAAGCCGGAAATGAAGCCGCTGCCCCGCGAGCGGTCCACTCCGGATGGAAAAAATAAAACAGAAATCTCTCATAAAATTGAATAAAACTTTCAGGATAAGACTGCGCCACACCGATGAAAACCTAATGAAGTATTTTGAGTAGGAGCCAAACTATTTAGTTTCTTTTTAATATGAAAAGTTGGTTGGGAAATAACGAAGTATTTTTCTAAGCTTATGAGTGTTCTACATACATACATTGGAAAAACATGCGATTTTCAAGGCCTACAAAAGTTCGTAAAGTTTTAAGAGTAGAGTAGTATAGGTAACCCCCGTGTCACACAGTAGTATAGGTACCCCAAAATGAATGACGCAGTAGTATAAGTACCCCACAGTGACACAGTGGTATAGGTGCCCCACAGTAACACGTTGGTAGAGGTACCCCACAATGACGCAGTAGTAAGGGAGTATGGGGCGATTTGTAACAGATTTCGGAATTCTCAATACAAAATTAAGAACATTCTGCATATCAGTGTCAAACTTGTGCCAGTTGAGCAGTCTGGCCCTTCATCTAGACTATGCAGCTCCATTGGATCAATCTTGAGTCCGTAATTTTTGAAATCTAAGACGCTTTCCAAACCCTTGCATGCTGTTACGAATCGCCCCAGCATGGGGTGATTTGTAACAGCCATGGGGCTTTTCATAACATCCCACACATTAAATGGAACATCATCGGGGATGTTATCTCCTCCAGCAGTTGTTCTTCGGGTGTCTTGCAGACGCCTTAAAATCTACATTACAAGCTGCCGTTGACCGCCTCAGCATTAACT